GTATAGGTAGAGGAGAGGGAATGTTAGTGTGTAGTAAAGGTAGAGAACAGAGGGAATGTCAGTGTGTAGTATAGGTAGAGGACAGAGGGAATGTCAGTGTGTGTTTAGGCAGAGGACATAGCGATATGTCAGTGTGTAGTATAGGTAGAGGACAGAGGGAATGTCAGTGTGTAATGTAGGTAGAGGACAGAGGGAATGTCAGTGTGTAGTATAGGTAGAGGACAGAGAGATATGTCAGTGTGTAGTATAGGTAGAGAACAGATGGAATGTCAGTGTAATTTAGGTAGAGGACAGAGGGAATGTCAGTGTGTAGTATAGGTAGAGAGCAGAGGGAATGTCAGTGTGTAGTATAGGTAGAGGACAGAGGGAATGTCAGTGTGTAGTATAGGTAGAGGACAGAGGGAATGTCAGTGTGTGTTTAGGCAGAGGACATAGCGATATGTCAGTGTGTAGTATAGGTAGAGGACAGAGGGAATGTCAGTGTGTAATGTAGGTAGAGGACAGAGGGAATGTCAGTGTGTAATTTAGGTAGAGGACAGAGGGAATGTCAGTGTGTAGTATAGGTAGAGGACAGAGAGATATGTCAGTGTGTAGTATAGGTAGAGGACAGAGGGAATGTCAGTGTGTAATATAGGTAGAGGACAGAGGGAATGTCAGTGTGTAATTTAGGTAGAGGACAGATGGAATGTCAGTGTGTTGTATAGGTAGAGGACAGAGGGAATGTCAGTGTGTAGTATAGGTAGAGGACAGAGGGAATGTCAGTGTGTAGTATAGGTAGAGGACAGAGGGAATGTCAGTGTGTAGTATAGGTAGAGGGCAGAGGGAATGTCAGTGTGTAGTATAGGTAGAGGAGAGGGAATGTCAGTGTGTAGTAAAGGTAGAGGACAGATGGAATATCAGTGTCTTTAGGTAGAAGGCAGAGGAAATGTCAGTGTGTTTAGGTAGAGGACAGAGGGAATTTCAGTGTGTATTTTAGGCAGGTAGAGGTCAGAGGGAATGTCAGTGTATAGTTTAGGTAGAGGACAGAGGGAATTTCAGTATGTATTTTAGGTAGATAGAGGTCAGAGGGAATGTCAGTGTGTAGTATAGGTAGAGGACAGAGGGAATGTCAGTGTGTAATGTAGGTAGAGGACAGAGGGAATGTCAGTGTGTAATTTAGGTAGAGGACAGAGGGAATGTCAGTGTGTAGTATAGGTAGAGGACAGAGGGAATGTCAGTTTGTAATTTAGGTAGAGGACAGAGGGAATGTCAGTGTGTGTTTAGGCAGAGGACAGAGAGATATGTCAGTGTGTAGTATAGGTAGAGGACAGAGGGAATGTCAGTGTGTAGTATAGGTAGAGGACAGAGGGAATGTCAGTGTGTCTTTTAGGTAGGTAGAGGACAGTGGGAATTTAAGTGTATAGTTTAGGTAGGTAGAGGACAGAGGAAATGTCATGATATGGATTAGGTAAAGGACAGGGAATATTAGTGTGTAGTTTAGGTACGCAGAGACAGAGGAATGTCAGTGTGTTTTGGTAGAGGACAAAGGGAAAGAGTTTCGCTGATTAGGTAGAATGACATACTGCTACATTTTTACAGGATACAGGGTCATTGTGTCTCAGTGTAGGTAGAATGACATACTACTACATTATATACAGGATACCGGGTCATTGTGTCTCTGTGTAGGTAGAATGACATACTACTACATTATATACAGGATACCGGGTCATTGTGTCTCTGTGTAGGTAGAATGACATACTACTACATTATATACAGGATACAGGGTCATTGTGTCTCTGTGTAGGTAGAATGACATACTACTACATTATATTACTTGGTGACAAGCATAGTTTAACCCTTTCTGTGCCAAATATCTCTCACAATGTACAGCTCAGCACCAAATATTTTCCGGAAAATATCCGAAAACAATGGCAAAAATTGTAGACTAAAGTCGCCTACGGCAGCCTGTCTGCATGTTGACTTTAGTCGCCTTTGGTGCCGAAAGGGTTAAGGAAAAATTTCTGTGGCACATGACATTTTATAAGAATGTTATTTTCAAAATGCAATGTCCTTCAATTGAAGGAGTTAAAAAACGTGTGTATTTCGGTTTTTTAGTTAACATTTGTTTAGGATATAATTCATACCAAAAAGAATTGTATTGAAGGTTAGCCATGTGTGAACATGTACAAAAGATTTGAAGTAATTTTAAATTGAACAGTGCCTTTAAATAGGTAACTATAACACCACAATGGGTTCAACTTGTGACCTGTTCCCAGGATATATAGTGAGTATATTTGTAGGTATACAGGTAAATACATATATGTATACATGTAAATACACAGGTAAGGAACAGGTGATGTGTCCTCTGATAACAAGAGCTTTTTATAGTAAAAGATTATTATCATTTGCTGTTTTATTTTTTAAAGTTGTGGTATTTCACATAAAATGTCCATTGTTAACTTTTGTCATACAATATATGGAAGGGTTTGTTTGTCACCATAATCTTACCTTTTTTCATTCGTTGTTTATGATAGTTTCAGTTTTAAACATAAGTGGACTGTTCATATTGTTTGTGGTCCATGGTCTGATGTCAATCTGTTTGACCATCCCTCTTTCTTGTCCATTGTCTGATGTCTGTGTATTTGTCCATCCTTTTCTGTTGTCCATTGTTTTGATGTCTGTCGATTTGTCTATCCCTCTGTCTTATCCATAGTCTGATGTCAGTCTATTTGTATATCCTTCTCTCTTGTCCATTGTCTGCTGTCAATCTGTATTTGTCCATTCCTTTTCTGTTAACATTTGTTTAGGATATAATTCATACCAAAAAGTCCATTGTGATGTTGTCTATTTGTCTATCCCTCTCTCTTGTCCATGTGTGAACATGTCAAAAGATTTGAAGTCCATTTTCTCCCTTGTCCTCTCTCTATTTGTCTATCCCTCTCTCTTGTCCATGTCAGTCTATTTGATCCTTCTCCCTTGTATTGTCTGCTGTATCTTATGTCCATCCCTCTCATCCATTGTCTGATGTCTGTCATTTGTCTATCCCTCTCTCTTGTCCATTGTCTGATGTCTGTCTATTTGTCTATCCCTCTCTCTTGTCCAAGTCTATTATGTATCCTTCTCCCTTGTCCATTGTCTGCTGTCAATCTGTATGTCCATCCCTCTCATCCATTGTCTGATGTCTATTTGTTTATCTCTCTCTTGTCCATTGTCTGATGTCTGTCTATTTGTCCATCCTTTTCTCTTGTCCATTGTTTTGATGTCTGTCTATTTGTCTATCCCTCTCTCTTGTCCATTGTCTGTTGTCTGTCTATTTGTCCATCCTTCTTTCTTGTCCATTGTCTGCTGTCAATCTGTATGTCCATCCCTCTCATCCATTGTCTGATGTCAGTCTATTTGTCCATCCTTCTCCCTTGTCCATTGTCTGCTGTCAATCTGTATGTCCATCCCTCTCATCCATTGTCTGATGTCTGTCTATTTGTCTATCCCTCTCTCTTGTCCATTGTCTGATGTCAGTCTATTTGTCCATCCTTCTCTCTTGTCCATTGTCTGCTGTCAATCTGTATGTCCATCCCTCTCATCCATTGTCTGATGTCTGTCTATTTGTCTATCCCTCTCTCTTGTCCATTGTCTGATGTCTGTCTATTTGTCTATCCCTCTCTCTTGTCCATTGTCTGATGTCAGTCTATTTGTCCATCCTTCTCCCTTGTCCATTGTCTGCTGTCAATCTGTATGTCCATCCCTCTCATCCATTGTCTGATGTCTGTCTATTTGTTTATCTCTCTCTCTTGTCCATTGTCTGATGTCTGTCTAATTGTCCATCCTTATCTCTTGTCCATTGTCTGATGTCTGTCTATTTGTCTATCCCTCTCTCTTGTCCATTGTCTGATGTCTGTCTATTTGTCCATCCTTCTCTCTTGTCCACTGTCTGCTGTCAATCTGTATGTCCATCCTTATCTCTCATCCATTGTCTATTTGTCCATCCTTATCTCTCATCCATTGTCTGATGTCTGTCTATTTGCCCATCCTTATCTCTTGTCAATTGTCTAATGTCAGTGGAAAAAGACGGGAAAAGATCAAATCAGTATAGATTATTGTAGACACCAAGATCCCACCGCTGGGATATATTCAAACAAATTCTTATGTTGTTTATTGTTTCGAGACAGTTAATTGAGAAACAAAGCAAGGATTATTGTTTGTCATATGTTTGTGATGTTGTCATTGGAAATTTACACTATGTTTATTTTTTCCTCATTTCTTGTTGAGTGTTTTTTTCTACCAGAATTTTCCATTGGCCTGTACTTTTATGCATTAGATAAAGACACAATAGAGTAAGGTTTTTTTGAAGGCTTAATGTAACACAATGACAGTTTCAGCCTATTGTCACAGCCCAAGTATATAGATGTCACTTCTAATTCTAGGTTTTAATTGTCCAAGGAGTTACATACGACCTCTAGCATCCAGTCATGTGCTATGAATAATGCTGCATATCTTTCAAAATAATGTCTTGTGTGCATAATGTCGCAATGAGACAATCACAAATCATACTAAAAACTTACCAAAAGTGACAGGCTTTGTGTTTCGGACACTATTTTGATCAGTTGAGAGAGCCAGTTATTTTTGCAAGAACGATAACTTTTTTTCTATTTCGCATGGAAGTAATGTGATTTCAAAACTTTGATTAGTGAAATAAGACGTGTAAATATCTACAATATAATAAAACGGTTGTCACTAGCTGATTCTTACATATTTCAGTCTAGATTATTTCCTCCACCACATTGGATTAAATTGATTACATGGTATGCGAGCAATACTTGTAACATGATACAGTGAACTATAATGAATTGTGTCTGACCGTAAGATCAGTAACTTTACATCAGGGAGCAATAATTGTGAAGAATTGAAGATCCTCTTCATATCCAGATAGGGAAGTTTTTTTAGAATTTAAGTCTGCAGTACAGATAAGTCTTGTGTTCTGTTACTAATTATTTCATGAAAATGTTGACACTTACATGTTACAGATTCGCGATCACTGTCCCTTGCATCAGATTCTGAAGATGACCCTCTGAACCAGTCCTGTCGTTCAGGTAATTGTTAATTTATGGGGATGTGTGATACAGTGTTGTAGTGGTGGAGAGGACGAGCGAGGTGTGATACAGTGGTGTAGTGGTGGAGGGGACGAGCCAGGTGTGATACAGTGGTGTAGTGGTGTAGGGGACAAGCCAGGTGTGATACAGTGGTGAAGTGGTGGAGGGAACGAGCGAGGTGTGATATAGTGGTGTAATGGTGGAGGGGATGAGCGAGGTGTGATATAGTGGTGTAATGGTGGAGGGGATGAGCGAGGTGTGATACAGTGGTGTAGTGGTGGAGGGGACGAGCGAGGTGTGATATAGTGGTGTAGTGGTGGAGGGGACGAGCGAGGTGTGATATAGTGGTGTAGTGGTGGAGGGAACGAGTGAGGTGTGATATAGTGGTGTAGTGGTGGAGGGGACGAGCGAGGTGTGATATAGTGGTGTAGTGGTGGAGGGGACGAGCGAGGTGTGATATAGTGGTGTAGTGGTGGAGGGGACGAGCGAGGTGTGATATAGTGGTGTAGTGGTGGAGGGGACGAGCGAGGTGTGATATAGTGGTGTAGTGGTGGAGGGGACGAGCGAGGTGTGATATAGTGGTGTAGTGGTGGAGGGGACGAGCGAGGTGTGATATAGTGGTGTAGTGGTGGAGGGGATGAGCGAGGTGTGATACAGTGGTGAAGTGTAGTGTATGAGGTAGTGGAGGAGGTAACTATAGATGTGTGAGGTAATGGAGGAGGTAACTATAGATGTGTGAGGTAGTGGAGGAGGTAACTATAGATGTGTGAGGTAGAGGAGGAGGTAACTGTAGATGTGTGAGGTAGTGGAGGAGGTAACTATAGATGTGTGAGGTAGAGGAGGAGGTAACTGTAGATGTGTGAGGTAGTGGAGGAGGTAACTATAGATGTGTGAGGTAGTGGAGGAGGTAACTATTGATATGTGAGGTAGTGGTGGGGGTAACTATTGATGTGTGAGGTAGTGGAGGAGGTAACTATAGATGTGTGAGGTAGTGGTGAGGGTAACTGTAGATGTGTGAGGTAGTTGAGGAGGTAACTGTAGATGTGTGAGGTGGTGGAGGAGGTAACTATAGATGTGTGAGGTAGTGGTGAGGGTAACTATAGATGTGTGAGGTAGTGGTGAGGGTAACTATAGATGTGTGAGGTAGTGGTGAGGGTAACTATAGATGTGAGAGGTAGTGGTGAGGGTAACTATAGATGTGTGAGGTAGTGGTGAGGGTAACTATAGATGTATGAGGTAGTGGTGAGGGTAACTATAGATGTGTGAGGTAGTGGAGGAGGTAACTATAGATGTGTGAGGTAGTGGAGGAGGTAACTATAGATGTGTGAGGTTGTGGAGGAGGTAACTGTAGATGTATGAGGTAGTGGTGGGGGTAACTGTAGATGTGTGAGGTAGTGGAGGAGGTAACTATAGATGTGTGAGGTAGTGGAGGAGGTAACTATAGATGTATGAGGTAGTGGAGGAGGTAACTGTAGATGTATGAGGTAGTGGAGGAGGTAAATATAGATGTGTGAGGTAGTGGAGGAGGTAACTATAGATGTATGAGGTAGTGGAGGAGGTAACTATAGATGTATGAGGTAGTGGAGGAGGTAACTATAGATGTATGAGGTAGTGGAGGAGGTAACTATAGATGTGTGAGGTAGTGGTGAGGGTAACTATAGATGTGTGAGGTAGTGGAGGAGGTAACTGTAGATGTGTGAGGTAGTGGAGGAGGTAACTATAGATGTGTGAGGTAGTGGAGGAGGTAACTATAGATGTGTGAGGTAGTGGAGGAGGTAACTATAGATGTGTGAGGTAGTGGAGGAGGTAACTGTAGATGTATGAGGTGTGGTATATCTGTTTGTTTATATGATCATAGTATATATATACATATGCTTATTGCATTGTAATATTTGGTTGTGATTGGACTGTTCCCTTAGGGAAAGAATTATGGTTCATTGAAATGAAACTTTATATTTTGTTTCATCATGTTTAGTATGGTTTGAAGACAACATGTTTGCATAAGTAACCATGTAACCATGGCTCAATCATGTTAATGGATTTGTAATTTTCTGTAATTAAAATCCTTTCCGCTTTCCCCATTAATATGAAATATTGATGAGATAACAATCAGCTTCCCTGAGATATACTTTGGTTGACAGGTTTACATGTGTTTGTCTCTGACTTTAGTGCAGAATAGATTTTTGTGAACAAAATTAGATTAATGTCAACATGTTTCCCCTGGAAACTACAGTTATCTGGCCAGGTTAACCTACAATAAAGCCTTTGCTAGTAAACGGTTACCTTGACATAGTTGTATTAAACAAACTATGGTTGACATGAAAAAGTAGCGTAAACTGGTTACCCCTACAAATGACTGTTGGGTTGTTACCCCCACAAACTACTTTTGACTTGTTGCCCTTAAAAACTATTGTTTGCTGTTACCCCCACAAACTACTTTTGACTGGCTACCTCTAAAATCTACTGTTGATTGGTTATCCATACAAACTACTGTTGGCTGGTTACTCGAAATACTATTGTTGGCTGGTTACCCCCCACAAACTACTGTTTACTTGTTACCCCAAAAACTATTGTTGGCTGGTTACCCTTAAAAACTATTGTTTGCTGGTTACCCCCACAAACTACTTTTGACTGGCTACCTTTAAAATCTACTGTTGATTGGTTATCCAAACAAACTACTGTTGGCTGGTTACTCGAAATACTATTGTTGGCTGGTTACCCCCCACAAACTACTGTTTACTTGTTACCCCAAAAACTATTGTTGGCTGGTCACCCTCAAAAACTGTTGTTTGCTGGTTACCCCCACAAACCACTATTGATTGGTTACCCCCACAAACTTCTGTTGACTTGTTACCCCCAAAAACTATTGTTTGCTGGTTACCCCTACAAACTACTTTTGACTGGCTACCTCTAAAATTTACTGTTGATTGGTTACCCCCACAAACTACTGTTAAATGTCTTTAAAATTTTTATCCATAAGATCAAATGATATTGTATCAGTGGTAAGTAAATGATGTCCCTGTTGGTACATGAGAGGTCACAAAATTTGGTAACTTCAGTCGATTTACTATGAAGGAAAATCTTCTTTTGCATTTATTCTGATGATTAATACAGGCCAGTTGAGCCTTTTGTTTGGGTAGAAAAATGTGTATCTATACCATGCTAACACCAGGAAAAAAAAAATCTGTGAAAACAACATTTGGGAAGAAAGTACGAGTGATGATGTATTACAGTCTGTTTGTATATCCCAAAGGAACCCCTGACCACGTCATAAACATTATGTAGGCTAATTGATTTGTACCAGATTTTGTTTGGAGTAGTCTCCCCTTACTGATGCAGGGAGTGTACTGCTTCTCAGGCCTGGTTTTGATACAGTTGTTGACCCCAGCATTGACCTTAGTGTTAGGAGGCTGCAGGAGCAAAAAAAAAGCCTCCTCGAGATAAAAAGCTCGAGAGGGCTGGCAGCTGGTTACGGCCTGGTAGTGTGGTAGTGGATGTGTGTGATATATACGGCTGTGCATATATGTACAGGTGAAGGAGGCCAGGGAGATTGAAAAAAAAAAAGCATGGTCACAGTGATACATGGGTAAATCTTTGTGTGAAACATGTGTTAAGATGGTACCTAAATATGAATTAGTGTACAAGTGAATCAAAAATCTTCCTGTCTCTTAAGACATTCAGGGGATGAGGATCTTGTCAGGTCAGCATTGTGCTGTTGGAAGTAAAGGATGGACTACATAACAGATATATGTTGGAGAATTGTTGTGAATTGTAGTAAAGCTGGAGAGATGGTTATGTACATGGAATATAAACATGACTGGATACTGTCATGATTGGCAGAGAAAGCTACAGGCATGATATACGTTTTATGGAATGGAGAGGTGGTAATTTTCAGTATTGAAGGCTGATATGTTTGTGAAACTATGATGCCAGGTGCACGTAAAAACAACAACTTGACTCCTCCTCGATACAAGATGTTTAAATATGGCTTCACTGTTGGTCTTCACAGGGGTAGGTATATCATTAGGACATGTGTACACAATATTTCATATAGATTTATCAGGCGTATCAAACATACTGTTAACATGTTAAAAACATATAGATTTATACAGGCATATGTGTCGAATCAGCTTTAAAAACATTACTTACATGTTGCATACATATAGGTTTATACAGACACATGTGTCAAAATCAGGCATATCAAACATACTGTTAACATGTTACAAACATATAGATTTATACAGGCATATGTGTCGAATCAGCTTTAAAAACATTACTTACATGTTACAAACATATAGATTTATACAGGCATATGTGTCGAATCAGCTTTAAAAACATTACTTACATGTTACAAACATATAAATTTATACAGGCATATGTGTCGAATCAGCTTTAAAAACATTACTTACATGTTACATACAGATAGATTTATATAGGCACATGTGTCGAATATGCTTTAACAAACTTATTACTAACACGTTGCATACATACAGATTTACACAGAGATATGAATATGTGTCAGAACATCATATCACAGAATACAAAACTTGTTTATGATGATTAATGATGTACCAAGTCTATAAACTCATTGTTAAAAGATGATATCATTCATGTATTACCAAATGTTTTGTGGTCTTTTGTCTACAAAGTGTTGTTCATTGTGGGAACTTTGTGGGTACATAAGCAGAAAGTTTTCTTCAGTTTGAGAATTTTGAGGGCACTTAACTAGAAGTTGTAGTTCAGGGTGGAACTTCTTCAGGTACTTAGCCAGAACATAGAGTTCACTGTGAGAATTTTGACAGAAGTTATGCAGTCCTGTTCTTAAGGATGAGAATTTTGGAGGTAATTAGCCAGAACACCTGTTTCTGTGTGAGAATTTTGAGGATAATTAGCCAGCACCTGTTGTTCTGTGTGAGAATTTTGTGGGGGAATTATATATTAATTAGCTAAAACATCTGGTTTAATGTGAGAATTTTGAGGGTAATAACAACATGTAGTTCAGTGAGAGTTTTGAGGATAATTAGTCAGAACCTGTAGTTCAGTGTGAGAACTCTGAGGGTAAATAGACAGAACCTGTTGTTCAGTGTGAGAACTCTGAGGGTAAATAGACAGAACCTGTTGTTCAGTGTTTGGTGAATATTGATATTAACAAGAATTTGTTGAACCTTGCCATCCTAATGCTCAGTGTTTACTGTACTTCAGTGTTTTGTGAATATTGATATTAACAAGAACTTGTTGTTCATTGCTATCCTAATGCTCAGTGTTTACAGCTTTATCAGATTGTAGCTATAGGAAGATGTAGCAGTTTTGTTGTGAATGCTGTCTGACCTTTGACCTGGATTAGTGATGGGATCACAGCCATGTCTGTTTTCAGGGTTGGTTATATTTTGTTTGTTGTAGACAGATACCTAACAATAAAGTAAGGAAGGGAGGGGTTGAAGTGACTAGCAAAACAAACCATGTCTGTAGGAGAGACTAGGTTTGTAGGCCAGCCAGCTGGTGACCTAAGGACCAGATGGCCGACAACTGTAGTATAGCTAATGAGGTATTAGGGAAAACCTAGCACACTGATACTGGTCAATTGAGTATACATATGTATTGTATTGTGTGTATGTGTGATTTGGTTTGTGAGTTAGACATTTGTATGATATTGTGTGTGTGTGATTTGGTTTGTGGGTTATATATTTGTATGATATTTTGTGTGTGTGTGATTTTGGTTTGTGAGTTAGACATTTGTATGTGTTTATGTGTGTGTATGTGTGATTTGGTTTGTGGGTTATACATTTGTATGATATTTTGTGTGTATGTGTGATTTGGTTTGTGGGTTATACATTTGTATGATATTTTGTGTGTATGTGTGATTTGGTTTGTGGGTTATACATTTGTGTGATATTTTGTGTGTATGTGTGATTTGGTTTGTGGGTTATACATTTGTATGATATTTTGTGTATGTGTGATTTGGTTTGTGGGTTATACATTTGTATGATATTGTGTGTGTATGTGTGATTTGGTTTGTGGGTTATACATTTGTATGATATTGTGTGTGAAGTGTATTTTGTGTTGTGTGATTGTGGTATGTGTATACATTTGTATGATTTTGTGTGTGTGTGATTTTGGTTTGTGAGTTAGACATTTGTATGATATTGTGTGTGTATGTGTGATTTGGTTTGTGGGTTATACATTTGTATGATATTTTGTGTGTATGTGTGATTTGGTTTGTGGGTTGTACATTTGTATGATATTTTGTGTGTATGTGTGATTTGGTTTGTGGGTTATACATTTGTATGATATTTTGTGTGTGTGTGTGATTTTGGTTTGTGAGTTAGACATTTGTATGATATTTTGTGTGTATGTGTGATTTGGTTTGTGGGTTATATATTTGTATGATTTTGTGTGTGTGTGATTTTGGTTTGTGTGTGTGATTTTGTTATGTGATTTCGTCTGTGGGTTATACATTTGTATGATATTTTGTGTGTGTGTGTGATTTGGTTTGTGGGTTATACATTTGTATGATATTTTGTGTGTGTGTGTGATTTGGTTTGTGAGTTAGACATTTGTATGATATTTTGTGTGTGTGTGTGATTTGGTTTGTGGGTTATACATTTTTATGATTTTGTGTGTGTGTGATTTTGGTTTGTGAGTTAGACATTTGTATGATATTTTGTGTGTGTGTTTATGTGTGTGTATGTGTGATTTGGTTTGTGGGTTATATATTTGTATGATTTTGTGTGTGTGTGATTTTGGTTTGTGAGTTAGACATTTGTATGATATTTTGCGTGTGTGTGTGCGTGCGTGTGTGTGTGATTTGTTTTGTGGTACATGCTTGTTTGCCACTAGATTTCCACTTTTTGCCAACACTTCATCTTTTATATGTGTCACTTGTATTCATTATAAACATGGTTTGCTCTACAAAGCACTGTTGATAACTATATGTGTCTGTTTTTACAGAAACTCAGTCACAGGATCTGGATGGTGCCAAGACGTATACACGAATCATACCATCCCATGAGTATGACCTTCATGAGAATGCCTATCCAGCTTTAGCTGGACAGGACAAACACACCCAGCTGGACCGACACCACCCAAGCATGAACAGCCAACCATCTGACCACCACCGTGACTATGATCGTCTGAAGTCCCAATGTGAGCATGCAATGAATGAACTTCAGTCGCTGAAGCGGACACAGACAGATATGGAGAAACGATATGACCAAACTCGCAAGGAGCTGGAGAATTACAGTCAGAAGTATCGATCAGTCCTCAGCCAACTCCAGCATTCCAAAGATGAAAACTCTCACATCAAGTCACAGTTCCTAAAGTTTGAGCAAGAGAAACAGCAATTGGACCAGGAAATCATCAGGTTCCAGAGTCTTCATGAAGAAGACAAACAAGAAATGTCTGACTTACGCAAACAGCTCCGGGAGGTCATCAATGAAAGCGGTTCTAGTGAAGTCCTTAACAAAATGTACGACTGTGCTCAGGATAAATATGAAGGTATTCGAGAGGATTACGAGGCATTGCGTGAGCGGTACACAGAGCTTATGTCTCTCAACTCTGATATGACCAGCAAACTAGAACATCTTAGGGACGAAAATATGAAGCTGCACAAAAAAGTCGAAAATATGCGAATGGATCAAGAGTCTGTTATCATGGAAAGGAATGCACTAAAGAAACAGTGTACAGGAGCTATACATAACTGGGACCAAGTTATTCATGAACGGGATCAACTCAAAGAGGAAATGTCAAAGGTCACTGCACAGCGAGATGAACTTATGAAAGGATCCAATCAAATCCTATTTAAATTGGAATCCGCTTGTAAGGAGAGGGATGCTGCTAAATCTGAACACAATCTTGTCATGGCAGAGAGAGCGTCTGTCCTCAATGATTATGATCGGTTACAGGAGAGGGTCAGTGAATACAGTCGGAAGAACGAAGCCCTTGAAAAAGAGAAAAAATGTGCTTTAACAGAGTTAGAAAATTTAAAACGGGAATTAATGACATCAATTCAAGAGAGGGACAAAGCTATTAAAGAGAGAAAAGAATTGTTGAATAAATACAGTGACATTCGCTCTAAAAATGACCAGCTGGAAGGTCAACGAGAGGACTTCCGCAAAGATTGGCAGATGGTGACGCAGGAACGAGATGTGGCGAGGAAAGAACGACACGAAGCGATTCAGGACAGAGATAGGATTCTCAGGGAGACTTATGAAAGAGAGCGCTGTCAGAAAGAAAAGGCTGAAGAGATGGATCAGGTTTCCAAGGAAACAGAGATCCTGAAACGAACAATTGATAAACTGCAACGGGAACTTAGAGGTAAAATTTGGATGTCATATATAGTATGTTGATTTATCCAATATTTGCTCAAAAAGCAAGTAATTCTAAGTCAATGACGTTGTTCAAGTTTAGTGACAGCGTGATTTAGAGTGATTAATAAATATATGCAAATGATGATGAAAAATATGTGATTTTTTTTTTGTCTTTCTTATAGATCTTAACCATGAGGTGGAATCCTCTAATATGTCACGAGACTGGGCTCTGAGGGAACGGGACAAAATCGTACAGGAAAGAGATAGCATTCGTACACTATGTGACAGTCTGCGACATGAAAGAGACAGAGCCGTGAGTGACAAAGCCAAGACTCTGCGTGATTTTGATGACCTCAAGAAACAGAAGAGTGAAACCTATAAGGAATTGAAGGAAACAAGGCATAGTATTTTTATATTTCACAAAACTGATTTATTAATTTATTGATCAATTATTGTGATATTACACAAAATACTTTCATTAGTTGTGTGGTGAAAAAGTAAAATTTCATGACTTTCAGATCATTTAATAAATATTTCGTTTGGAATCTAATGCAGAAGACAGAAAATGAAATTTCATCATACTGAATGAAAAGCACTATATAGACTGTATACAGGCTAATATTTCTCTCATATTTTTAAACCCCTGCAGAATATCATTTCTGTGCTCTGTGTTAGTGTGCCCTTAAACATATAAAAATCACCATTTTTCACTCCCACCTTTTATTTTTGTCGTCATTTTGGCCATAGGTGGAAACAGGCCAAAGATTAAAGTTCGGCGAGAATTTCCTTTATTACAGTACATATACACAGAAAGTCAATGTGAACCTTACCATGACAGGACATTTTTTTTCGTGGGTCTTCTACTGCATGGTAAATATTTACATGATTTAGATTAATTTAATAATTTACGTCTAATTCTTTCAAATGCATGTGTTTTAGGGAAAAATATGAAAGTGTGATGGAAAAAGAAGCTCGGAAAAACCAACTGAATGGAATTGGTCACAACCACAGTCGGGACTCTGCCATTGATGCTGACCTACAGGAGTGGGAGACAGAGGAAGTGATTGTAGATATTGTGAGTACTCTAATCATGGATGGTCAATGTAGCATCCTTTCTACTACAGTTCTGAGAACGACAGGAACTCATCGTATGAAATAGATTCTATGTAAAAAATAATCATAGGAACTGGTTACATTGTCAACGTGTAAATAGAATTATCGTGTTAATTCGGTCAATTTAGTCACTGGCTGATCAAGTCGGATTGTTCTATGGATATGATTATTCATTGTAGGGCCGTTTCAACCCCGACAATCTGGGCTTTGATATTGTTGGGGGGAAGGATGACCCACAGCTCACCAATGACAATTCCATCTTCATCAGCCATATCAGTAAGGGCAGCGTGGTGGATGGAAAACTTAGGTAAGACCTCCGATAAAAATAAATTTCTTTTGTGTCTGATTAAAACTGATTATTTTTTCCTGATAAAAAATTATTTTTCTGGAGGATGATTGATGTCCCTTTAAAGATGAATTGTTTATATAGTATCCTGATAAAAGTGATGTCGTGGAGCTAAGATAACAATATCCTAATAAAAATCATTTGTTTCATGTAGGGTGAATGATATACTTATGAAGGTCAACAACCAGGACACGACCAATATGACCAAGAGAACCATGATACAGACACTTCGGGATGCTTCAGACAATGTCTCTTTGGTCAGTATAGCTGTATTCTATGAGGGGAAATTTTACCAAAAGCGAATGTTGCATACACGCCCATGATCTATACCATGAATTGTACCAATTTTAGCTCACTTGAATTTGGTTAGGAGTGCTTTGGATAAAATTTAATTGGACAATTGTTGTAAAAATGAAATTTTCCAACATGGCGTTTTAGGGACAAATGTCAATATGTTAAATCGAGGTTAATCCACCCTTCTCCTTCCTGTTGGATAAAGGTTCTTTATCAAAGGTTTTGTTCTGGGCTTTGATTACATAATCACCTTATAATTTCTTTCACAAGTATCTTACAGGTAACATTTAACATGCAAATAAGAAATATGATGTCCCCTTGATGCTGGATGATAGAACCCAATGTTTATTATGATAAAGTTTAGTTTTGAAGTTGTTTTTGTCTGTATGAATCTACTGAACATCAATGTTTACTGTAATGTGTATTCTACACAGATGGTGAGGCGTCGTCGATGTATTACTCCTCGAGTCTGGCAACCACTGCAGCTGAATATTTCTCTAGGGAAAGGTAAAATGCTTTAGTTTGACTCAGCAGTGCTAGTATCCATAGTGTAAACTATTAACGTAACTGTGTCGTTGTAACACAGCAGTGTTAGAATCTGGACTGTCTTTACAGTGTAAACTACTAATGTAACTGTGTGGTTGTAACACAGCAGTGTTAGAATCTGGACTGTCTTTACAGTGTAAACTACTAATGTAACTGTGTGGTTGTAACACAGCAGTGTTAGAATCTGGACTGTCTTTACAGTGTAAACTATTAATGTAACTGTCTGGTTGTAACACAGCAGTTTTAGAATCTTGACTGTCTATAAAGTGTAAACTACTAATGTAACTATCTGGTTGTAACACAGCAGTGTTAGAATCTCGACTGTCTATAAAGTGTAAACTACTAACGTAACTGTGTGGTTGTAACACAGCAGTGTTAGAATCTCGACTGTCTATAAAGTGTAAACTACTAATGTAATTGTCTGGTTGTAACACAGCAGTGTTGATGATATTTAGTAACCAATGTATGCTTTGTTTTATCAGAGACCGGAATCTACATAGAGCAGGGCCTGTATGTCGGTCGCATCACTCCAGGATCATTGGTGGCTAAGGAAGGTCTCCTAGTCACAGGTGACAGGATCGTAGGGGTAAGTGTGGCATGTGACAGGCTTGTGGAGATAGATGGGACACATGACAGGGTTTTTGGGGGTAGGTGTGACACACGACATGATTGTGGGGGTAGGTGTGACACATGACAGGATTTTGGGGGGTAGGTGTGATACATGACAGGATTGTGGGGGTAGGTGTGACAATTGACAGGATTGTGAAGGAAGGTGTGATACACGATAAGATCTTAGGTGTAAGTGTGACATGTAACAGGATTTTTGGGGTCGTTGTGACAGGATGGTAGGGAGAGATATAACATGTGACAGAATCATGGAGATGGGGGTGACACAATACAGGGATATATAGGTTAGAGTTGACAGTTAATTGGATTGTCAGGTAAAGTATGAAAGGTGACAGGATTTAGGGGTTATGTGTGATAGGTGATGGGATTGAGGGGTGACATATGACAGGTGATGGGATTGAGGGGTTAAGTATGACAGGTGACTGGGTTGTGGGGGTTAAGTATGACAGGTGATGGGATTGTCAGGTAAAGTATGCCAGGTGAGGGGATTGAGTGGTAAAGTGTGACAGATAATAGGATTAGGTGTTAAGTGTGACAGGTGATGGGATTGAGGGGTTAAGTATGACAGGTGATGGGATTGAGGGGTGAAGTATGACAGGTGATGGGATTGAGGGGTTAAGTGTGATAGGTGACAGGATTGAGGGGTGAAGTTTGACAGGTGATGGGATTGAGGGGTTAAGTGTGATAGGTGACAGGATTGTGGGGGCTAAGTATGACAGGTGAAGGGATTGAGGGGTTAAGTATGACAGGTGATGGGATTGAGGGGTTAAGTGTGACAGGTGATGGGATTGAGGGGTTAAGTGTGATAGGTGACAGGATTGTGGGGGCTAAGTATGACAGGTGAAGGGATTGAGGGGCTAAGTATGACAGGTGATGGGATTGAGGGGTTAAGTGTGACAGGTGATGGGATTGAGGGGTGAAGTATGACAGGTGATGGGATTGAGGGGGTTAAGTGTGACAGGTGATGGGATTGAGGGGTTTAAGTGTGACAGGTGATGGGATTGAGGGGTTATTTATGACAGGTGATGGGATTGAGGGGTTAAGTATGACAGGTGATGGGATTGAGGGGTGAAGTGTGACAGGTGATGGGATTGAGGGGTTAAGTGTGATAGGTGACAGGATTGAGGGGTGAAGTTTGACAGGTGATGGGATTGAGGGGTTAAGTGTGATAGGTGACAGGATTGTGGGGGCTAAGTATGACCGGTGATGGGATTTAGGGGTTAAGTATGACAGGTGATGGGATTGAGGGGGTTAAGTGTGACAGGTGATGGGATTGAGGGGTTTAAGTATGACAGGTGATGGGATTGAGGGGTTAAGTATGACAGGTGATGGGATTGAGGGGGTTAAGTGTGACAGGTGATGGGATAGAGGGGGTTAAGTGTGACAGGTGATGGGATTGAGGGGTTTAAGTATGACAGGTGATGGGATTGAGGGGTTAAGTATTGTATTGTAGGGGTGAGTGTCATTGATTATGAAGTAACTGTAAATGTGATAATTATTAAAAATAAACAATGTTTTCTGTTTAAAGAGGATGATCTTTTCATTCTTTTATATTAGATTCTTCGACAGTATTTGCTATTGTTTCTGTAGTCGTGTTTTATGTTATAGGTGAATGGGAAATCTGTAGAGAGTCTCAGTGCTAAGGAGCTCATGAGACTCCTTGACGACTGCCGTGATCCTGTTGTTATGGAAATCTGGCGACAAACTTCCCCTCTGGGGATAAATTCTGCTGGTTCATCCCCTGTTCCTGTTCCCCTGACTACTCTGTCTCACCTCTCAGAACAAATGCCGCACCGAGTCACAAAACCAGAGAGTCCAACTCTCAAACCTCAGTCCATGTGGGATGGAAATACTACCTCAGATAGTGGAAAAAGTAGCACTAAGATGCGTAGTAGTGGATCCCAAACGGACAGCCTGGACAGTCCCGGACCTCCGTCCAGACACAAGGACAAACGTTATCAGGAGAGGGACCCTGACAAACCAAACAGACATAGTGTACTGGAGAAAATTAAAATGTTCAAACAGCGACACAAAAGTCAAGAACGCAGTGAGGTTGATGATGGAACACTGAAACAGCAAGACTTGATGTCACAAAGTGCCCACGTGAACAGTTCCAATTGTCCAGAGGATGTTATCGGAGAGTTTGCCATGCCTCTGTCTGGTACAAGTGTGCATGAAAAAGTACACACCAATAAACCAGTGAATAAAACGACTCGTAAGCGTGAATTAGAGAGTGAAAATAGCGGCACGTGGCCAAAGTGTTGTCGTGTGTATCCAAACGCCACTAATGGCACTGTCATGTTTCCTTCTCCACAACGTAGGCATGAGCGTCCAACCCTTGATGTGTTGATCAATCCGCCGCCAGAGAAAAGGCTTGTGCCAAAAACGCCCCCAACGCCCCCGGAGCGAACAGGGGCTTCATTTGTAGCGGTGCGTCACAGTCCGCAGAGTAGTGATTCAACCCTGACAGGTAAATACCGCCACAGTCCACAGAGCAGTGATTCAACCTTACAGCTGGGCTCCCCTTCACCCATCAGTTCCCCGAAGTCCAGCAGCAAGTCAAACCAGTACTTACACAACACGGTCTCAGTGCCTCCATTCCAGCAACAAGACCCTCACATTCTACCTGACTATTCTCACAGAAATATGAGCAGTGCTAGGAGCTCACGTCAGGCTCACAAACGTTATACGGTTGGTTCATTTGGGCCCGACTTTCCACCAAAGGAAGGTTTTGAACAACATCCACCACCCCGTGTAGGCAATAAGCCTGCACGACACCTTGACCGAGACATACGAGGTAGTCAAAAGTATGCCAACAAGTACAAGTCTAGTCACACACATCAGTCTCATAGCTCTGTGAATTACAGCAAGTCGCCACAGGGACATACAGCATTTGACTTTCCGCAGAACACCTCGTCATTAGGGGGCAGCACAGGCAGTGCTCGATGGTCCAGTAATATGTCGTCCCCAAATGATGGTGTACATTCCCCTCCATACACCCCGTCCTCGGGGTTGAGCTCCCCTCTGTATAATCCATCAGCTGGAGTCACATCACCGCCGTATCAACCTCCACACAGGGGACAGAGTAGCAGGTATGTAATATCTTAACTATGCAACTTAACACTGACACTATATACTGTCAATTTTCATTGATTATGTAGGTACTCTTGATATACAAATTTACAAATCAAGTTTTAATGAAAGAATGAGTAGATTTATTGACCTATATTTAGCCATGAAATCAAATGTCCACGTTTGAAAAACCATGAAAATTGAGACTCACAAAAACATAGGATTTTACAGTATTGTAAACTGGGCAGTTTATCTTATTGATATGGAAAGTTTAATTCTCATGTTCAAAGTTACAGTTGTGAATACTTATAGTTTGATACACTTTGAATACTAAAACTGTTCTATTTTCAGTAACTCGTCGACATTGTCCTCGATATCCCGTCCATATCTGCCATACTCGCCAGGCAATTATTCCCAATACCCTCTCTCCCCGTCCTTCAGTTCTCCCACAGATTCCTGTACTGATTGTGACAGTGAACCCCCTCGCTACTCGCCTTCCATTGACTGGTGTAGTTCGCCGAGCTCCTCTCAGCGTAGTTCCTCCACACCCAGTGATCAGCTCAGCTACCCGTTAGTGGTTCCACCAAGGATCTCGCCGTCAGAGGCAAACACATTTCCACGGAAACCTCCAAGAGTCTGGTATCCTCCAACTGTAAGCACCACATCCTCCACCAAGTCTGGGTCTGTGGAAGTTGGTAAGTTTAGAAGATTAATTCCAATGACTTCAGAAAAGTTTCAAATATAATGGTGTTTAGTCTGAGAATATGATCAATAATCCATGATGTGAGATGTACAGTAGCATTGAATACTAGGTGAGAAATACAGTCCCATTGGACCTCTTGTTTCTTGGAAAAATGTATGAATATTTAAGCCATGGCATACTAATGCTAAAGCTGTTGCCAGTTTAGAGATTTTATGTAATTACAAAGTCTCAACTATGTAAATACACAGTAAGAAACAGGAGAGTGCAAGGAAAGACAACTCTTGGTAGAACTTGGTAACCTGTGAACTATTCAAAATAGCTCCACTTGAGAATCCATATCAGAAACAATGTATTATCAACCTTGCTGTTCAAGCTTTAACTGTTAAAAAATTTTTAAACGCATAATACTACCTTTGTCATGAACAAGCATGCTCATTAGCATAGTTGTGAAACAGCATGAATAGAATAATCACCAATATGGCTTATCTAAAAGTACCAACAATTTACAACAAGCACAATATGTAAAAATACTCAATAGCATTTTTTATGTTGTTATCATGGTCATTGTTCACATTTTATCGAATCGTAAGACTGGTTGATTTAATAAAAACTGAATTTCACATTAAAGAGTCGGGTCCAAATCTCTCACTATATGTCTACATGGAATGTTAGCCATCATTCTGGTGGAAGTACTTGTGGAAGTAATCGTCACACCATAATCACAAATAAAAATTGTGTGCCCTATAAAATAAAGTGATGATAAACCAGAAGCTTGAATCTTTGATTATATCTTATGTTAAGATGTGATTGTATTTCACAAGAAGATCATGCAAGATAAACTCTGATTTTCATCTCACCTGGATCTAAAGTCCAAGTGAGCTTATACTTTGGTGGATGTCCTGGGTGTCCCGTGATCAGGACTTCTCAGTAATCCAATGGTTTGTTGGCTGTTGGCTTCCTGAAATGAAGGTCATCAAAGCTCACAAAAAGATATGACTTTGGCTGATATTCAAGTTCACAGGGGTCATATTTGTAAAAATGCTCAAACAACTTAGGATGACTAAGGGAAAGACCTAAAATGATATTATGTGGAGGAAACAGTCATATGAAAAAGGACCTAGAACAATACTTGAGGTCAATGGAGTCAAATTAGTTGAAAAACTCGAACATCGTCTCTGACTAATGCCGAGACTAATGACATTTGTTAGGGAGCTTCCTTGGATAAGACCTTACTATCTTTGTAAATAAATGACTTTGACTCATTTTCAAGGCCACAACAGTGAAAGAAGTGAATTAAGTTTGCAGGGTAAAATAAGGTGAAAAGCTTAAGTGGTATTTTATTTTTTTTACCAGAAATCCTAGATTCAAGATAGTTGTTTGTTAGCTTACTTGGGTGAAGCAGACAAATTATAGGACAAGGGATGACCTTCACTAAAATCTTTGATTTGATAAAGATGGAACCAGAGGCAACCACGTCATGTAATATACGGTTTTAAGTAGAATGTTTCGCATCAAAACATTTGTCTCTTGCCATATCTGTCAGTACGTTGAATTTTCTTTTATTTAAGTTTCTGAGAGGAGCAGTCCTGGGTCTCCTTTTCTCGACAGCAGAATGGATTTGCCTCGTAGGAGAAAGTAAGTAAAGTGTAACCCATCTAATATGAACGTAGAGAAAATGGAAGCCCCTTTCCATTGTGTAATTTGAAAATCCTCTTTAATTGAAAGGTAAATTCTGGCTCCTAATTTATCATTTATTTGAAACACACACTTCTACTGCTTCTATTGAATGGCAGTTTACATAATTACGTAAATTGAATGAGTCCCTGCCTGATAATAAGCCCACTCATCTCTATATCGTTCAATAACTTTAAAGTAACTGCTATTTCACTGTCCTGTAATAAACCCATCTCCTGGTTTAGTGATGAGTCACTATGTAGGTAATACAGACAAGTACTCTGAATAAAATTAACATTTAGTGTAATCTTTCAACAAAATGTATTTCCTTTCTTAAGTTTTGATTTTAAAGCTTATTCATGTTCCAATGAAATACAGTAGCTTTGTGATAGATTTAGTCTACAATGAAGAACTCACAAGGTATATTACAACATTCAAATTATTGGAAGTTAATGATTTTGTGTACATTTGAAGACTAATAGTTGCTGACCTGAATTGATTTCTGCAGACCTTATCCTGGGGAGACACGTACCATACATGTGGAGCGGAATCTGCAGCCAGTTGGCTTTAATATAGAGAAGAGAAGCACAGGAGGTATCTTTGTATCAATGGTCAATGAAAACAGCTTGGCAGCAGACGCAGGTCTGGTAATTGGAGACCAATTACTCGAGGTAAGTCACCAATCATGATAGGTAAACATGCTTACAGATTTCATTTTAAATGCAAAGTTGTAAAACTTCCGGTAACAAAACAAAAAATTGTATTTTGAAATTTTTTGATGCCAGTTCAGAGTAAGTTAGTAAATACAAGTGACTTTTTTTTTTAATCAAGTCTTTGATATTTGAAGGCCCTGTGGTCCTTCTTTTAACCAAATACTTGGATTAAAGTTCAATGGTAACCATCATCCAATAACCTGTCGTCTACGGTCTGCCCATCCTTGTTCTCGTTATCAATATTTCTTGAGAATTAGCAGATGGATCCTTCTCAGACTTCCTCTATAGGTTCCCCTTTGTCCATACTTGTACTTGTTCAGTTTGTAGAATGGTGATGGGAAACATAGATTGCCAGATGGCTGATATGGATTTTGACATGCAGATTTTGTTAAGCCTATTTAGTACTCTACAGTTGCTTAATTTTTCGCGGGACAGATATTTGGCCGGGTTGCGCATAGTGCAAATCCAGGTTATAGTATGGTGAATGTCGAGCAGGTGGGCGGGGAAAAGGGGTACCAGTTTTGTAGAATCAACTCCTCCTAGAGTTTGTGATGTAGTTGAAACTTTGTAGGATGTTTACATATATGTCGAAGATGTGCACCTCCTGTTATGGATTCATTCTGGATATTTTTCTGGATATCTCTGAATCAGGAGAATCTCAAGATCTCTCATCCTCAGGAGGATCTAGAGATCTTTCATCCTGAGGAGAGTCTACAGCTTTCTCATCCTCAGGAGGATCTAGAGATCTTTCATCCTGAGGAGAGTCTACAGCTTTCTCATCCTCAGGAGGATCTAGAGATCTTTCATCCTGAGGAGAGTCTACAGCTTTCTCATCCTCAGGAGGATCTAGAGATCTTTCATCCTGAGGAGAGTCTACAGCTTTCTCATCCTCAGGAGGATCTAGAGATCTCTCGTCCTGAGGAGAGTCTACAGCTTTCTCATTCTCAGGAGGATCTAGAGATCTTTCATCCTGAGGAGAGTCTACAGCTTTCTCATCCTCAGGAGAATCTCCAGATCTCTCATCCTCAACCAATGTAAAAGATTCTACAGTAAAACCAGAACAGCAATCTCTGTGTTTCGACATTACGTTAGAATTAATCGTCAATAAGTTCATGCTCCCTGCAGTAATGACTACAAAATTTTTCAATGTTTAGATTTGTGGAATCAACATGAGGACGGCCACTCATGAAATTGCTGCTCGTTTCCTACACCAATGTGGTAAAGATCTCACCCTGCTGGTCCAGTATAACATTGATGGTAAGTTAGATCTGAAGTGATGTGAATTGATGAGGATATTTCTCTAAGTAAACAGTTCAATAGCCATTGAGAGATTTTTCATGTAATGGAGAAAAGGTTCTTTGTAGATTTTTAGTTTTTAACTGAATCCTCAAGAGTTGTTCTGTTTTATATTAACAGATTAAACCATAAAAAATTATTTGAAGAGCTGCTTTAATCCTATTTTGAACTAGAGAAAATTGCTTCTTGTTTCAGAGTACAACAATGGGGATTCATCTGGTGATAGTACAAACACATCTCCAAACAACTCCCCAGATTCCAGTACCTTCAAGAAAAAAACCAGTCTCAGGTAAACTGTTTAGATCCCAAATGTTTTTTCAGATTGAATTAATTCTACCACACCTGGCCATTAAGATTTTATCTTTAAACTAAGCCAGGAAAATCTGTATAGATTTTGACCATATTTAGTCAGGAACAATCATAGATGAAAGCGACTGAATTTTGAATAAATTGAGTGTTCGAACCCAAATGTATGTTAACCTTGATAACCTTTCACAATCCTTCATAACACACACAACAATACTTGCCTTACAGATAAAAAGATAATGGGCAGCATGGTTAGAGATAAGAGAGAATTTAGATCTATAGGTTTAAATTGTATTGTTTTCCAAAAGAAAAAAAAATTGTTTCTTTAATTTTGCTGAAACTAAATTATGACTCAACATTAAATACACTTACCTTCTTCTTTCAAACACTAAATAGTCACCATAACAGACCACAATCTTGCTACTTTAAGAAGAAATTGTTATCACTGCTTTTAAATCTTTGTGTATGGTTTGAAATTTTATTCTTTATATTGGGGAGGAGAAGGATTAATCTTGAGGCAGCTTCAGTTCCATCCACAACACCAAATTAAGATTCAAGATGTCAAATCTGTATTTTGTAAACACAGTAAACTTTCTTTTGTTGATGTTGTACAGTCGTCCGACCATGTCCTGTGAATCGTCACGCTTTGTCTCCTTAAAGAAGAGCTCACCAAATGCAAGTCTAGGTATCACTATTGCTGGTGGAAATGCAGTTGGCATCTTTGTACATGAAGTGCAATCTAATAGTGTAGCCTTCGGACACGACGGATTACACTGCGGGGACCAAATACTTCAGGTAGGACAGGAATACTCGAATATTTTATGTTTTTACGAGAGTCCAGAAATGGTCAAACAGTGATGAAAAAATTCCTGTCTCATTAACACAAAAAAACCCATCAAACAGTGCCTTTGTATACATGTTACTTGTCTGGCTGCTATTTTTGCTGACCCACAGAATAAGACCAATTCAAATTCATAAAGGTTTGTATGATTCATCAAATAAAAATGAGTCAAATGTGTTTATTAAAATTTTGATGAATAGAGTAAAACCAATGACATTTTCTTTTTCGACATTCCACACTTTGTGTTTACCTTCCTGCCAATGTGACCTAGTTTCCTGACATTCCACACTTTGTGTTTACCTTCCTGCCAATGTGACCTAGTTTCCTGACATTCCACACTTTGTGTTTACCTTCCTGCCAATGTGACCTAGTTTCCTGACATTCCACACTTTCTGTCTACCTTCCTGCCAATGTGACCCAATTTCCTGATAATCATAGCTTTCTGTTTACCTCCCTGCCATATAACACAGTTTTGTCCTATTCCTTACAGTACAATGGAGTGGACTTCACTTCCGTGACAGCAGAATTTGCTTCCTCTGAGATTGCCAAGTCCTGTCCTGTGGTCGGGATGAAAGTTCAATATAATCCAGAAAGTAAGTACATATGCAGCCTTGTTCAAATTTGAAATTTGTTTTTTTTCTACCGGTTTTCCCCCTTGAAATCTAGTGTGTTACCATTGATCTTTGTCCATCTCCCACATTGGACTGGTCAAAACAAGTTAGATAATGGGTTACCATCTTGGAATATTAGCCCTTCAGTGCATGTCATTTGGTCTGTCAAGTAAACAATTTCTTGAGGAGATTATTTTAGAGAAATGCATAAGGGATCTACATTGAATTGAAGATTCAAGTATTGAATACGTTTGTTACTTTAACTTTACAAATGTTTACAGTTTGGGTCCTAGTTTTCCCAGGTCACATTTTGAAATTTATTGGATATTCAAGATGGCCAACATCGTCCCTTTTTCAATGGTGGATTTTAAAAGTTATGGACATTATTTCTCAAGAAATATCTGAAACCTGGATCTATTCTTAGAGAATGGACCTTTATTGTACATGCCATATTTTGAGATTGGGAAGAGGGGTTGAAATATTCAAGATAGCCAGGAAAAAGAATTTAGGATCCTATTTATGATAGTCAAATTCAGGTATTAAAAGAGATGTTTTCAAGCTTGATAAAGACTTGTTCAGTCTCTGGTTTAGTTGTTTAGCCATGGTTTAGTTGCTACATTTTGAACATATCATCCACCACAGATACCAATAAACCACTTGGTCCTAATGTTACAGTAAAAATTAGTTTAGAGCCTGTGTTGTGTATTATAATCACACCTTTAAATTTTCTTTGGAACAAATCATTGTATTTGATGATGACCAGACTGACTGATGTATGTAGCTAAGTGGCATTTATTAAACCCACGTTTGTCTGTTTTGTAGAATACTACTTGATCCGCGAGCAGCCTGGCGACCTGTTCTATATGCGTGCCCACTTTGACCGTCCAGCAGAGAATGAGGGAGAATTAAGTTTTTACAAAGATAATGTTCTGATGGTGGAGAATACAATGCATGGTGGTGTTGCTGGCAGCTGGTTTGGCTGGCTGGTCGATGACGACTGCAACAAAATAAAATCTGGCACCATTCCCAGCAAAGAAAGGTTCGTACAGAAAGAACAATTAGACAGGGGATTACAGTGGTAAATCATGATCATTGTCAACATGGGTCAAGTTTTTGTGATGCTTGTAATATCCAATGTTGTCTGACATACTGGGGTCACACTACTGTTTCTGGTGTCCTATTTTGATGGGACAAAAAAGGAATTTGTGGAGGGTACTGGTATTTGTAATCATTTTATATTGGTCTAGTGCTTTTATTACCGGTATGTACAGTCGAACCCTGTCTCAAACATGACAGGACCATGGGAAAACAGTGTATTTGATTGAAGTGAGTTTGAATGTTTTATGTAAAGTTAGGCATGGATCGATGAATGATTCTAATTAAACGGGGTCTTTGAGTTTTCCACATTGCAGGTAACAAGGTTCGAGAGTAATTACACTTCATGGAAGCACAAAGTAAATTTTGGGTACTAGATATTGCACTGTCGTATTTTATTCATTTTACTGTGGTAATACTGTTGCAACTTTTTTTCATTGACCAATAAAATCTTGTGGTACACCTGTACAAATTTAGAATGTGTGAGATATAATCCTACTAGTTTGTTCAAAACTGATGAGAAGATTTGCAGAGACGGAAAACCTTGTAACTAACTAAGTTTGTTTATCATGGTAGACTTGAGGATGACTTCATGCTCCGGCGAAGTCACTCCGGTAGCCTGAGTCTACAAGACTTAGAAGAACTCAAAGGAACAACTCGCCGGGGATCAGGGACTGCACGACGAAGCTTTTTCAGGCGTCGCCATAAAAGAAATAATTCCAAAGACAGTCGAGAGTTTAGCGCTTCAGATGCCCCGCTCACAAGTGAATCTGTTCCAATGCTAGATGGTGAGCAATTCATATGTCTTTCTAGCACTTTTTTTTTATTAGAAAATAGAATTGTTTATGAAAGCTCTTGATGAAAGTTGAATTGAAAATGAATCATACGTAAACAGAAACTGTTTTTAATTCTAAAAAAAAAACCTTCACATAACAATGAGATGTGTTATGTGTTTGTCTACTCTGTCGTCCAGCTTTCTTTCACTTTTCATCACATTAGTAACTGTGATATTTACACAAGGAATTTCAAAAATTTTTACAGAAATTTTGCATTGAACGTATCGGGGACAGCTTTAAATGGTGGTGGGATTAGGTCAAGGTCAAGCATTCTGTTATTGAAAATAAGATTTATCATCACAGGTTTAATTTGACACCTGACAAGAGATTATAACAAAATTTGAATACCCCATATCTTTTCTCTATTTGTATCTGTTAGTAGTGATGATGAAGCAGTTTTCTGTAAATCTAGTTACAGGATTTGATGAAGCCTAAATCCTTTCTCTAGTTTGTGCATTGAAATGCTCCAAAATGCTATTTCTACAACAATTATACGATTAGATCTACAAAACTTAAGAAGTCTTTCTGTAGTATCATCCCCAAACATCTCTTTTAAAAAGGCATTAGATGAAGCATGGATTAATAAAGACATCATTTCCCAGCATTGATAAATCAGTGTAGAGAACTAGAAGGAATTAAAACTAAGTTGACTCATTATAATTAATGAACTTGTGATGATTTGCTTAAATTTGTACTTTTACTGTCATTTCAGATGTCTCGCTCTACGCCTACACAAAAGTAGATAGAATTGAGTGTAAGTATTAGACAAATTTATTATTATAATAATGCATTGTTATTATTGTCATTTACAAAAAAAAGGAAATCTTTTATTATCTTGGTGTACTTTTTATAAAGTGATATTTGGCTGTTTTTTTTTTAACTTCTGATCGTCATTTGTATTTCTTTGGGGTAATGGATATTTCAAATTTTCTGATACAATATATATAAATAGCAATATTGTACATTGTATTTTCTATGATTGAATAAAACAGTGTAAACGGCTCCTTTTCTTCCTTAGAGACTAAATGGCTTTGCACTTGACTAAATCCAAAGGTTAAGTTTTAGTCAGACTTGATGTGGAACATTCTTCAGTGATGTTGATGGAATATATGTTGTACAGTAACACTAGTCACTTGTTGCTTGTAGATAAAATGACGAGGCCAGTGATACTGTTGGCTCCACTGGCTGAACCCCTTATAAACAAGATAGCATCAGCTTCCAGTGACAAGTATAAAGCGTGCCAACCCAGTAAGTCTGGATACTCACCAGTTGTTTATCCACCTACTTCCTGTTTAAATAAAATTATTTATCATTTATCAATTATAAAGCATGCTGACCAAGTGAGTCTGGAGATTGATATCAGTTAGCATAGTTAGGCATCAGAACTATTCATCTCAGGCTTGACAGAAAAATACATCATTTCTATATTTTTTTTTGTCTACAGTTAACATTATTTCTATAAATCAGTGCTTTTATCCTCCCTGAAAATTTTTTGGGGAGCATACAGTTGCCAGCTTGTCCATCCTTCTGTCCGTCCTTTCGTGTCTGGGCATATCTGTGCACACAGTTAAGCAAGGACCATGAAACTTGGTATATACTTTAGTCATACTAGGGGGATTCGCAGTGTACCAAGTTTAGGGCCCTTGACCCATCAATTACAGAGTTACTGCCCTTTGTTTAATTTTTGTGTCAAGAGCATAATTTTGCATGCAACTCCTTAATTACACAATTATTGCCCTTTGTTAAAATTTTGTGTTCAATAAAGTTGTTTTTTGCAGAGCATTCATCAGTTTCGCTGATACTCTTGTTAGAATTATTTGTCTACTGTTCACAGTATTTCTATATGTCTGTTCTTTTCACAGTTATTATGCAGACATCAGCTAAAGCCATGGAACAAGGACTTGCTGACAGTAGTTACATAGATTACTGGCAACAAGATGACCACTATATGTGCATCCGTGTGTCGTCTATCAGAGAACTCTGTGATCAGGTATTATATCTAGCTCAATCTAAACCTGGCAGATATTTTCTTTTCTTTGTCCCCTCTGATTTGTAATCAGAGTTACCATTTTAGAAATCAGTTATTCTGCTACAAATAAATACTTTTTAACAGAATGTAGACTTTCGTTACCCCAAGTTTAATAGGATACTGGTAAAATTCTTCATTTATTTATAAATTGAAATCACGTGTATAATGAGATCACCTTGAGGAAAGACAGTGATATTATATATTGGCCATACAGAGGGCTTCTGAAGCTTGAGGATTGCCATTTTTTACCAGAAAGATTGTCTCTGTGGAGATACAAGAATTTTAATGTTTTTTTTTCTCCTTAGGGCATTCATTGTTTGCTCAACACTAGTCCAGCAGCCATAGAGCGCCTACACAGACTGCAGATATACCCCATTGTCATATTCGCTCGCCATAAATCATTTAAACAGATCAGGTGAGTTTTATTTTATGAGTGGAAAAAAAATAAATACAATACTTAAATTGTATGTCGATGTTTAATAGAAATGATACAAACCGTAAAATTTAAGGATCTTAAAAGACGAGATGATTTAGTTTTCTTAGAACTTGGGTACATTAATCAACAACAGGAGGGGTGGATTATAGTATGGATTTTATCAATTGAAGGGAGATAACTTTGAAAATTTTTTCTATAATAACTGATTACCTCCCTTTGACTATTCACAAACTGATATTTATGATTGCCTTCACAAGTTCTATGTTCCTTTCTTGTACTTTAAAGGGAAATACGTGATCCCCAGTTTCACCCAAAAAATCTAAGCAACAAAGCGGCAAAAGACTTGTTTGAGCGATTCCAGAAAATCGAGCAGGATTACCGTCACCAGTTTTCTGGTAGGTGTTCAATGTTTTCTGGTGTTGAGGATGGACTTCATCAGTACACAATTGTATAATATCTTTTCCACTACTTAACTTTGCAATTGATCAAAGGATTTTCATATCATTGTTATAACTTTTTGTAAAAAGTTTGAAATAGGTCTTTAAAGATTTTAAAAAATTCTTTTCTCAAAGTTTGGAATAAGTCATGAAATTAAGTCAGTGATGTTGAATTGACAGTTTGAAGGAATTTTGAAACTCCTGGAGACATTTACAAATTTTTTTTTTGAAATCTTTACAGCTATGATACAAGGCGGAATCTTGGCCGAGATGTACCAGCAGGTCAAAACTGTCATTGATTCCGAACAGAAGAAGGCCATTTGGGTGCCAGTCAGTCCAACAAGATAACAGCGTTCTCTCCGGGATCTCTTCTCCATGGATCTCGGATCTTGGATCTCATCTTGCGATTTACCAATAGCTTTCTAGTCCTACACATTCATGGATCTCGGAGTTTGAGCTTTTTCTTTTGCTTTTTTGGTGTTTGTTTGTGGAAAATCCAATCCCAGCCGCTTTATTTACATGTGAACTAGTTTTTCATTGATGGTGAATTTATCTCTCCATGAAATTCACCGAACATATGCTGTAGTCAGGAGATGCGGAATTCTTTTAACAGGTGTGCTATATCTTGGAAAATTTTTGACATGTTGAACTTCTCACATAGATGTGTTATAGTTTGGAGATGTTCCGTCTACAGAATTCTTCATACATATGTTCTGTAGATTTTGATTTGTTGAACTGTAGACATTTTACTTCCATATTTATTGGTGATAAATGGTGACTTTAAGTGATCAACCATTTGTTGTACCTCGTCAATTGAAATCATTCTGGCTGAGTTGTGCCTGGGACCAGTTCACATTTGGATAAACTTATGAAGCTTCTAAGGGATTTATAGTCATGTCCATTTTATTGAAAATAATTGTGAATTAAGGATTTAAATGGCTCCTACTAGTTGTTGGCTATACCCTGTGTTAACATGCCGTCCGACCGTGTGTTGTACTGGGCTGTATCAAGCATTTTCTGTGTTGTGTTGCAAAGAACAGTTTCCTTAATGGTAAAGTTTATGATTAATTTGCCAACTGGAACATGAAGAGAAACTGATTCTTGTATGAACTTGCTCTGTTACATGTCAATGGTGTGTGCTTTTTTTTGAAGCCGTGATTACCAATAATCCAACAAAACAAAGGTTTTACCAAGAATTCACTGCTACCAAGAATTCACCAATTCAAAGAATTCACCACTACCAAGAATTCACCACTCAGTTTTATCAAGAATTCACCTCTCAGTCTTACCAAGAATTCACCTCTCAGTCTTACCAAGAATTCACCACTACCAAGAATCGGCCACTTCAAAGAATTCACCATTTGATTTTACCAAGAATTCACCACTACCAAGAATTCACCACTTGATTTTACCAAGAATCAACCACTACCTAGAATTCACCATTTGATTTTACCAAGAATCAGCCACTACCAAGAATCAAACAATACCAAGAATCAACCACTACCAAGAATTCACCACTTGATTTTACCAAGAATCAACCACTACCTAGAATTCACCACTTGATTTTACCAAGAATCAGCCACTACCAAGAATCAAACAATACCAAGAATCAACCACTACCAAGAATTCACCACTTGATTTTACCAAGAATCAAACAATACCAAGAATCAACCACTACCAAGAATCAACCACTACCAAGAATTCACCACTTGATTTTACCTAGATTCAACTACTACCAAGAATTCACCACTTGATTTTACCAAGAATCAACTACTACCAAGAATTCACCATTTGATTATACCAAGAATCAACCATTACCAAGAATTCACCATTTGATTATACCAAGAATCAACCACTACCAAGAATTCACCATTTGATTTTATCAAGAATCAACCACTACCAAGAATTCACCATTTGATTATACCAAGATTCAACCACTACCAAGAATTCACCACTTGATTTTACCAAGATTCAACCACTACCAAGAATTCACCACTTGATTTTACCAAGAATCAACCACTACCAAGAATTCACCATTTGATTTTACCAAGAATCAACCACTACCAAGGATTCACCACTTGATTTTACCAAGAATCAACCACTACCAAGGATTCACCACTTGATTTTACCAAGAATCAACCACTACCAAGGATTCACCACTTGATTTTACCAAGAATCAACCACTACCTAGAATTCACCACTTGATTTTACCTAGAATTTACCACTCATTCCACCAGATTCAGATCTTTGTAAAACCATATATTTTAGTCGACTTATGTTCTGACATGTTTTGCTATTTTTGGGACAGTGGCACAAACACTATTTTTCCAAGTACATGTGATATTGACTGTGGTGACTGTAGAGAGGACAGTTGAAACAGTCCAGAAACCTTGTCTTTGATATGCACATTGATTTTACCATGTATTTGATCTATAGATGCATTATGGTTTGTATTTTATTCCGTTGTAGAAAGTCTGGTGGATAGAATTATGAAAAGATATATCTAAAATAAAACACATCATAGAAACACTCAGAAACCAGATCTTATCTCCTCAACATTGTATAAGTTAGGTAATCTGACTTTGACTTTCATAATTCAAAATGGTTTTTTTTTTTTTTTTACAAAGAATATATGACATCAACTGGTGTGAAACAGAATCACTCTGCAGTTAGCCTACACTATGTCAGACTTTCTGCAGTTAGCCTACAGTCTGTTAGGCTTTCTGCAGTTAGCCTACACTCCAGAAAGCTTTCTGCAGTTCACCTACACTCCGTCAGGCTCTCTGCAGTTCATCTACACTCTGTCAGGCTCTCTGCAGTTCATCTGCACTCCGTCAGGCTCTCTGCAGTTCATCTACACTCTTTCAGGCTTACTGCAGTTCACCTACACTCTGTCAGACATTTTGCTGTAGGCCCACACACCACCAGATAATCTACAAGATGCCTACACACCATCAGACATTCTACAGCAATCCTACACATCACCAGACATTTTACAGTAAGCCTACACACCACCAGACATTCTACAGTAAGCCTACACACCAACAGACAGTCTACAGCAATCCTATACACCACCAGATATTCTACAGCAATCCTACACACTACCAGACATTCTACAGTAAGCCTACACACCACCAGACATTCTACAGCAATCCTACACACCACCAGACATTCTACAGCAATCCTACACACCATCAGACATTCTACAGTAATCCTACACACTACCAGACATTCTACAGTAAGCCTACACACTACCAGACATTCTGCAGTAAGCCTACACACTACCAGACATTCTACAGTAAGTCTACACACCACCAGATATTCTACAGCAATCCTACACACCATCAGACATTCTACAGTAATCCTACACACTACCAGACATTCTGCAGTAAGCCTACACACTACCAGACATTCTACAGCAATCCTACACACCATCAGACATTCTACAGCAATCCTACACACTACCAGACATTCTACAGTAAGCCTACACACTACCAGACATTCTGCAGTAAGCCTACACATCACCAGACATTCTACAGTAAGCCTACACATCACCAGACATTCTACAGTAAGCCTACACACCACCAGACATTCTACAGTAAGCCTACACATCACCAGACATTCTACAGTAAGCCTACACACTACCAGACATTCTAAAGTAAGCCTCCATACCACCAGGCTTTCTATAGTGGGATTTTGATTGATCATGTCAATTAAAAATTAAATGTAAAATGTTTATGAGAGATGACTAGGTCCTGCCTTGTCTGTAAGATAATGAGTGTTTTTAGACAGTAAGTACATACCTTGTATGTAAGGTGTTGTCAGGTGACCTGGGCGTACCTTGTCTGTAAAATATTTCGTGTTTTTAGATGACAAGTACAAACCTTGTATGAGAGGTGTTGAGAGGTGACCAGGACATACCTTGTTGTCAAGTGACCTAGACATATCATGTCTGTGAGATGTTGTCAAATGACTGAGATGTACCTTGTCTGTGAGGTGTTGTCAAATGACCTGGACACACCTTGTCTGAGGTATGTTCAGATGACCTTGTTTGTGAGATGTTGTCAGATGACCAGGATGTACCCTGTTTGTGAGATGCCAGATGACCAGGATGTACCTCGTTTGTGAGATGTCAGATGACCAGGATGTACCTCGTTTGTGAGATGTTGTCAGATGACCAGGATGTACCTCGTTTGTGAGATGTTGTCATATGACCAGGATGTACCACGTTTGTGAGATGTTGTCAGATGACCAGGATGTACCACGTTTGTGAGATGATGTCAGATGACCAGGATGTACCATCTCTGTGAAGTGTTGTAAGGTGACCTGGATGTAACTTATCTGAGAGGTGTTGTTGGACGACCTGGATATACCTTGTCTGTAAGGTGTTCAGAGAAGACCAGGACGTACCTTGTCTGTAAGGTGCTCCAACACGACCAGGATGTGCCTTGTCTGTAAGGTGTTCTGAGACGACCAGGACGTACCTTGTCTGTAAGGTGTTGTCAGATGACCTAGACATACCTTATCTGTGAGATGTTGTCAGACAACCTGGATGTATTTTGTTTGTGAGGTTTTGTCAGATGACCTGGACAGAACCTGTCTGTGAGTGTTGAGTGTTGTCAGATAACAGGATGTTGTCTGTGGTGTGTGGAGATAATGACCAGTTTATAGGGCGTGTTACAATGTGTCATATGGAGTGTGGTTGTGCATTTCAAATGGTCGTTATACTGTCTGTGATACTAAGGTGCTAGACTAGCTGCCAGTGTTGTGTCATCTGCCTGTTTACACGTCACTGTATGCTTCTATGTTGTTATTTTTTTGTTGTAGAGGTTTACTATTATACTTTAAAAAGTTTTGATTTGTATAGGAAACGTGTCAGTGATTATCACAGCATTCTGTGCCTTCAGAAAGTGAACCACAGATATATGGTGGATAAGGTGTGGCTTCGGACAGGGGAAACTGATGTTGAGGTCTGTGTTTTTTTGTTAATAAGCGTGTAGAAGTGAGATTTCCTGGATAATATCACTAAGTTGTATAGACATAGGAGGTCCGTAGATTTCCTTGTAAAGTCATCAATGCTTGACATTAAAATTTATTATCTTGATTTACTTCCAGACTTTTTGTCATTTTTAGCTTGAATATCACAAAGTGTTGGTAAGCTTCAGTTTTTTTTTTATAAAACATTCCATTCATCAATTTTTTTAGCCCACTATTATCTAATGCCCATCTGTGGTCTGTCCGAAACATTTCTTTTTATCGCTATTTCTGGAGAAGTACTAGATGGATTTTTCTCTAAATTCATTTGCAGATTTCCCCTTGTTTCCTAGTTGTGCTCATTTAATTTTAGGACTAGAAAAAGTGAGTGGCTGACAGTTGGCCATATATGGTTCTGACTATAAAAGTTTGTTTTTTAACTATTTAGTAAGAAGTACTGGAGTCTGAACTGCTGCCTGTTGCTTTGCAGCTAGGCAACACCTTATGTCATTAATTTGACATCATACAATTGTGATTACAGGATATTCTGATGTAAATTAGAGAGAAAAGATACCATTAATAATTTCACTTTAATTAACAGCATGTACCAACAGGTCAACTTATAGATACTATATATATGTCAATTAGTTCAGTTGAAGTATTAATTACAATTGCTTATACCAATCAGATTCGTCCCCAGTAAGATAGTCATTGAAAACAAACACAGGTATATCCGACTACTTGCTGGTTGTTTTCCTAATTATGTTTAAATGTTTGGTAAAAATCAGAAATTTATCAAAATCAAGAGGCCCAATGGTGCTCAGCTGGTATATCTTAGGTAAAAAATGGTCAAAATTGACAAATTTTTACCATTTACATAACTATTGCATATTTTCAATGGTTACCATGGCAACCATAGCTGCAATAACAAATAAACGAGATCCCAGAGGGATCTTGGCCTCCACCATTGTTTGATCTTTATATGCTCTTTGAAAGTTGGATCTTTTCCCTTCTATTCTCTTTTCTTCTCTGTATTTGCTCTTAATGATAAATACATTGGAACATTCCTTTGCAGAAATAAATGATAATCATTACCTGCAAAATCCAAAATGGCCACCTGGAAGCCGTTTTGTTTCATCTGATCAGTCCCAAACTCAAATAGTCACAACTAGGGACCTAAAGAACCCCATACATGAAATTTGAGAAAGATCTATACAGTACTGGCACAACTAGATACCAAGGAGAACGTATCCATTAAGTACTTATCAAGAAATAGCAACAACAAACTTTAAGTCAAAATACAAGATGGCTGCCTGTCAGCAATTTCGTTTTTTTGATCAGACCCAAAATCAAATGGGCACAACTAGAGACCAGGGGAAACCCACATATGAAAGATCCTTCCAGGATTTCTCAAGAAATAGCGATAACAAAAATTGTTTATGGAGGAACAGATGACAGACCACAGATGCAGAGATCTGATTAACCTACCATCTGATGATGATGGGCTAAATATTTTACCCCTGTGACCTTGAACATAGGTCAAGGTCATTTATTTTCGCAAACTTTGTTGGGCTTCATCCTAGGAACATACTAGCCTAGTATTATGCTTCTAGGCCTTTAATTCACGAGAAGTTGTTGTTTAAATGTTTTCACAAATTTGACCCTGTGACCTAGAAGATGAGTCAAGGTCATTTATTTTCGCAAAATTTGTCAAGCTTCAGCCTAGGAACATACTAGGCCTTTTAGTTCAAGAGAAGAAGTTGTTTAAATGTTTTCTCAAATTTGACCTCTGTGACCTTGAACATAAGTCACGGTAATTTCTTTTCATAAACTTTGTCACACTTTATCCTAGGAATATACCAGCAAAATATCATGCCTTTAGGCATTTTAATTCGAGAGAAGAAGTTTAAATGATTACACAAAGTTGACCCCTGTGACCTTGAACATAAGTCAAGGTAATTTCTTTTTGCGAACTTTGTCAAACTTCATCCTAGGAATATCACAGCAAAATATATATATGCAGTTTAAAGGTTTTAAAAAATTGACCCCTGTTACCTTGAACAGAAGTCAATGTAATTCATTTTCGCAAACTTTGTTGGGCTTCATACTAGGAACATACCAGCCAAATACAAAAACATTTGATTCATTGGTAATTGAGAAGAAGTTGTTTAAATGAAAAAGTTGACGCCAGAAAATGGATGGATGGCGGACGCTGCATCACGGCATAAACTCACTTGGCCCTTTGGGCCAGGTGAACAAACATGAAATATTCACTTGAACTTTACCCGTATGATCACAATTTTTCCTGTTGTTTGAAACGGTTTATGTTTTTATGTAAAACACTATATGAAACCAAGTGGAGTTTGTAAATAGTTATTCTCCATATTACTGTGTATATTCTACTCTGATAGTAGAAAACAGACTATCATTCCTGTACCTAAGTTACATCACATTTAAAAACTGATAAGTGATCAAGTTTTGTTCTAAATAAAGGACTCTTGACATTAGATTCTAAAATAATTCTTTAATCTTGACTGGTTAAATCTTGCACTTGAATCCACACAACATCTGTACATGGTTTCATTATAAAAGGAAGATTCAATTATCGAGGCACCATGTTTAGATTGATCAGGTGTCGCATCGTCGGTCGGCCATGAGGACAATTCTAAAATAAAAACAAAATTAATGACAGATACTACAAGTCACCAGTAACATAAAAACTAAGGGAGTGTCTATTTCTTTACAAAGTAATGGGTGTTCATTTTTGATGAGTATTTTGTTGACAGAAAACTATTAGAAATCATAAAGCTGATCGTATCTGTCATTTCATGGCACTCACATATGTTTGTTTTGTTTGTTTTCTGGGATTATTGGCCTGTAAAATCAGCAAATGTCATTCTGCGGCAGGCACATTTTCGGTCACCTAAGACAGTCTCATGGTGACCTATTGTGAAAACCTTTGTGCAGTGTTGTGAAGCCATAAACATATTTGACTTCTCACAAACCCCTGAACCAATTGAAATTTTGCAGAACCCTTCCCTGGTCTAAGATCAACCAAAATAGTAAATTATATGGTTCCCACCCCCACAGGGGCCTGAGGGGTGGAGTCACAAGAGTCAAACTGACTAAGTTTCAAAAAGTTTTCTCCTCAACATACAGATATAGTAGAATCAAATGGTTTTCATGGATGGAAGCATCTTAAGGTGCTTTACCAAAATTGTGAATTTCATGTCCGCAGGGTACAACATTTCCCCGTTGGGAGGGGGTACAAGTTTGCTATAGTTTATATAGGAAAAATAGATTCTAAGCATAATTTGTTTACTTCCCATTGGAAATAATTTAAACTTGGTTAGAATTTTGAGCAAAGGGCAAAGGATGACAGCTTGATGGTATGCCCACATTGATCCTGGCTGATCCCTCTGCTGGTGGGTGGAGCCAAAAGGGGTCAAAGTGATTTAGATTTCAAAAATATTCTTCTCAACACCCAGACATGATAGTATCAAATGATCTGCATGGATGGAAGCATCTTAAGATGCTTTACCAAAATTATAAAATGGACAGGGCAAACTTTAAAACACTTAACTTAAAATGATAGTTTTACTGTACAGGGCAAACCCTAAAACGAAAAACTTAGAATGTAAGTCTTATGGGCCAGGGCAAACCTCAAAATACAAAACTGTTCCCATGTAAGTCTTTTTGGGGCAGGGAAGCCCTGAAACACAAATTAGTTAGGATGTACATCTCCAGGGGCAGAGCAAAGCCTAACACATAGAAAAGTCTGCAGGGTTTTTGGACAACCATTATGGATGTAAAAGAATATAGTATATTCTACATCTAGATGTCTGGAACTGTGACTTACCCATGGCTGGTCTATCTGTCCCATGTGTGTGACAAGCTGTAGATAGAGACAATTACATATTATTGTGCATAGTATAGGCTGTAGGGAGAGACATTTATGCACAACAGTTAGGCTGTAGGGAGAGACATTAAGGCACAACAGTTAGGCTGTAGGGTGAGACATTTGGGTACAACAGTTAGGCTGTAGGGAGAGACATTTAGGCACAACAGTTAGGCTGTAGGGAGAGACATTTGGGTACAACAGTTAGGCTGAAGGGAGAGACATTTAGGTACAACAGTTAGGCTGTAGGGAGAGACATTTAGGTACCACAGTTAGGCAAGAAAGAGAGACATTTACACATTAAAATACACATTGTAAACTGGTATAACAGATAGGCAGAAAGAGAGACATTTACACATTAAAATACACATTGTAAACTGGTATAACAGATAGGCACAAGTAGGAGTTTTCCAGGATCTGTATGAACCTTTCAAGATAAGTGTAAACAAATTATCTCGTGCTCAGAGTGGACTCAATGGTACATTTGAGTAAACAAATTATCTGGAACTTGGGGTGGACTCAATGGTATATTAGAGTGAGCAAAAAAAAATTTTATCTGGAGCTCAGAATGGACTCAATGGTACATTTGAGTAAACAAATATGGGTTAACAAATTACAAAGGTTACCTTTTTCATTTCTACTTGGTTGAGTGCTGTGCCAATCATAATAGACTTCCTACAAGATCGCGAAGCAAACATTTGCCGGACTCGAGATGGTCGACACATGACACCCTGGAACATAGTAACATTTTTACTTTATTTTCATATCACTGTCATCCCAATTCAAACGGGTTAATGCTGGACATAACTGACCAACTTAAGAGTACAATTTTCAACAACAGTACACACAAATGATCTACATTACTGAAACCTTAAGCTCATGAATGTTTCAGCAGAATAGTTCATTCTTGAAACTTAATTGTTTCCTTGTTAACTACAGATGAAATATACCCAGAGCTTTAAGCTCAGTCTGATGAAGTAACTGTTTCCAAGTTAACAACAGATGAAATATACCCAAAGCTTTGAGTTAAGTCTGATGACGTATTTTAAAAAAGTTTTGACACTATGCTACAGGAATAAGAACATGTGATTTTCCAACCCATTTTGTATACATGTATCATACTCACTGGAGAGTCTGAGAGCATGAAGATCATCTCCTCAACATCTGCAACAAAATAGAAAATGTGAATACTCCGATCCCAACTGATAAGTATCAAGGTCTGACAAAGTTCTATAAATAGTTACTTATAAAGAGTAGTCTTGACATCAGAACACAGAAAGACAAAGATTGTATGTGAACGACAGCCTTCATTACAACTTTAGAATCAGATACAGCAAAACAATGAACCACATCATACAGCTACTTCATCCCTCTAGGACTAGTCAAGTCATCCCTCTCTGACTCGCCAGTGATGCCAACGGCCCAAAGTTTGAAAACCTTGAGTCGACTGAGGAAAACAAGTGATCGAAAGAAATGCTGTGACCTAGATGAGGTGTTGGGTAATACCACCTATACCCATTGGATGGACATAGGTGGTGGGTCACACTATCTATATCAATGGGACGGACATAGGTGGTGGGTCACACTATCTATATCAATGGGATGGACATAGGTGGTGGGTCACACTATCTATATCCATGGGATGGACATAGGTGGTGGGTAACACTATCTGTATCCATGGGATGGACATAGGTGGCGGATAACACTATCTATATCCATGGGATGGACATAGGTGGTGGGTAACACTATCTATATCAATGGGATGGACATAGGTGGTGGGTAACACTATCTATATCCATGGGATGGACATAGGTGGTGGGTAACACTATCTATACCCATGGGATGGACATAGGTGGTGGGTAACACTATCTATACCCATGGGATGGACATAGGTGGTGGGTAACACTATCTATACCCATGGGATGGACATAGGTGGTGGGTAACACTATCTATACCCATGGGACAGACATAGGTGGTGGGTAACACTATTTATATCCATGGGATGGACATGGGCGGTGGGTAACACTATCTATACCCATGGGACAGACATAGGTGGTGGGTAACACTATCTATACCCATGGGATGGACATAGGTGGTGGGTAACACTATCTATACCCATGGGACAGACATAGGTGGTGGGTAACACTATCTATACCCATGGGATGGACATAGGTGGTGGGTAACACTATTTATATCCATGGGATGGACATAGGTGGTGGGTAACACTATCTATACCCATGGGACAGACATAGGTGGTGGGTAACACTATCTATACCCATGGGACAGACATAGGTGGTGGGTAACACTATCTATACCCATGGGACGGACATAGGTGGTGGGTAACACTATCTATACCCATGGGACGGACATAGGTGGTGGGTAACACTATCTATACCCATGGGACGGACATAGGTGGTGGGTAACACTATCTATACCCATGGGACGGACATAGGTGGTGGGTAACACTATCTATACCCATGGGACGGACATAGGTGGCAGGTAACACTATTTATACTCATGGGACGGACATAGGTGGTGGGTAATACTATCTATACCCATGGGACAGACATAGGTGGTGGGTAACACTATCTATACCCATGGGATGGACATAGGTGGTGGGTAACACTATCTATACCCATGGGATGGACATAGGTGGTGGGTAACACTATCTATACCCATGGGATGGACATAGGTGGTGGGTAACACTATATATACCAATGGGATGGACATAGGTTTTGGGTAACACTATCTATACCCATGGAATGGACATAGGTGGTGGGTAATATTATCTGTACCCACCAATTGGCCATGCAGATGTCAGTTTTTTCATAGGTAGAGAAAAGTGGGTGAGGGGAGAATAACAAGGACAGAGTGACATTGACCAAACAATTCTAAAACCCTTTATGATCCAAGACAAGATATTTTGATTCTTAATAATTGTGTTTAATGAGAATCTCTCAAGGAATGAAATTCCTAAAGTACTGACAGAAAAGCGGGTGGACGTAGGGACGGATGAACAGATGGAGAGAAAAACTATAGTCCCCCTACCCTAGTTTCCCAGATAAGGAATTAATTAGAGTATTTAATCATTTCACCTTCCTTTCCAAAGTTCCAGTTTTTGCTGAGGGGAGTTGATGTAAGTTTGACTCGTTGAGTAGGTGGGGCTGAAACACACAAAAAAAACCCTAAGAGTTTATAACAGTTTTTCAAAAAGTCACATTCAAAAAGAATAAAAGACAGTATTTAAAGAAAAACAGCAGACATCATCATCACTATCGCTTGCTAAGGAACAAGGTCACATTCAAAAAGAATAAAAGACAGCCTATTTCAATCCAGAATACCTCTGACATTTAGAGATACAACGAGCAATGGTGTCTTAATTCTGTACAACAAACATATCAGTCATGGAAAAGTTGACTGTAAAGTAGCAATACCTCTCAGCCTTCATTGAACTGATTTGTTAAAGCATGACAGGTAGGTCAAATTCAGCATCCGAAACTTACGTTCTGCCAATGACATCATGTATTTTTGGTTCTAGTAACACAATTATTCCAAGCATGTAACCAAATCACAATGGCTCAAACATAACATGTTTTTTCTTTTTTACCTTAAACCTGGTGTTTTTGAAGTCTGTTAATATCAGACCTTATTACTTAATTGTCTAATTACAATATCAACATCCTCACATAGGGACCAAAAATACAACTATCTTTTATACATGTACAATATTCTGACAGACTGGTGGTGTTAGCAGTTATCCCTGTGAATCCATATTCTGTAGTCTAGTCATTAGAAACTGTTATAAAAATAGACATACCTTGTGCATCAATTAGAAATTCAAATCCATTCTGACGGAAAATGTCCAAGTTGTCAATCAGGACGGTTTCGTTGCTGGCTGTCAATTCTAGATTCATGGGTCTGAAGGAAAAAACATTGTACTTATGTAAAATCATCTAATACAGGTGGAATAACATCCAAAAAGTCCAGAAAACACTTTAAGTGAATGTATGCAGAAAAAGAAACAAATAGAAAGTTATCTCCCTTGGTCGTTAGACAAAGCCTCAAGGAATCCATAGTTACAAAGTTTGTAGAAATGTAGTTTAGGTTTTGTAGGGTGTTGAGAGGGAGGAGCGAGTTGTTAGGGGATTGAGGAGCTGTGAGAGGGGGGTGTTGGGGGATTGGGAAGCTGTGAGAGGGAGAGGTGTGGGGGATGGGGAGCTGTGAGAGGGGGAGGTGTTGGGGGATGGGAGGTGAGGAGTTGGGGAAGAGTGAGGTGTCGGGAAGGGGGACGGGGAAGGGTTTTGGGAGGAATGTGGTGTTTGGGGCAGAAGGGGATGAGATAGGGTGAGGTGTTGGAAGGGGAGGGGGAGGTGTTTGAGAGGGGGAGGTGGATGGGTTGGGGTTCATGAAACATAAACTTACTGTATAAGTCTTTGACTCTGTAGAACTGTGTGTTTCTGTAGCTGTTCAAAATTATATTTCTCATCAGTGGCATGTTGATCAATTATGAATAAATCATCTCCATTCTTCGCGATGATGAAGCCGAGGTTGAACTGTGGAAGAGTGACAAACAACATGTCAGACAAATAAGTCCATATCTTATTCAAAGGGAAACTCCAAATTATGAATGAAAATGCTATATATTTACTATTTTTACAAAAAACTTGGCGTATTTATTGACCACAGCAAATCTGGTCTTCTTCTGTGCTTGTCAGATGCAGTTACTGAGAATAAAACTCCTTGCTATAGAATCTGGTCATCACTTGGACACCATCTCATCTGTAGAAAGGCTGAAAGGTCATACAGCAGACGTTACACCTGTTAACGATATTTCAGTGAACTCTCTTCCATTATAATTTGTAGAGTTATTTACCTTTGTCAACTCAATGATTGTAACATTCAAAATCATTATTCGTGGTACCTCTGGAGTTTGACCACTATCATCAGCATTTTCACCAAAACCCTCCCTACTCCCGCTTTTGAGGGAATATCCCTTGTTTTCAGTTTCTGCTATCTATTCTTTAAATTCCAAATTTCAGAATACAATCTTAACCACTACACTTGTCCCACCTACTTGTGTACAGGCAATCTGATTGGCTGATCTATAGCTCATCTATATACAGACGATTTAATTGACTGATCTGTAATTAGTATGTGTAGATTTGAATATCTGATTTCCACTGTATCTTATACAATGGTGCTGTTCATTTGTGTGTCTTTTGTACAATCTTCCCGACTGGTGGTGGTAAATATTGTGGTTAGTTCCTGAGGTTTGCCATAACCTGCTTGCCACATTTTAATTCATTCAAATTTATCTTTTAGTTTTATCATTTTGGCTCTTAGTATCCTAAAAGGATGAAACAGCTGTATGACATAACATCACTGACAAGTCCTAGAAGGATGAAACAGCTGTATGATGTCACATCACTGACGTGTCCTAGAAGGACGAAACAGCTGTATGATGTAGTATTACTGACAAGTCCTAGAAGGATGAAACAGCTGTATGATGTAACATCACTGACGTGTCCTAGAAGGACGAAACAGCTGTATGATGTAACATCACTGACGATTCCTAGAAGGACGAAACAGCTGTATGATGTAACATCACTGACGAGTCCTAGAAGGACGAAACAGCTGTATGCTGTAACATCACTGACAAGTCCTAGAAGGACGAAACAGCTGTATGATGTAACATCACTGACAAGTCCTAGAAGGACGAAACAGCTGTATGACACAGTTTAGTTCATGATATGATAATCTCAGGTTTCTTTCTCTTTTAAAAAAAAAAACAAGATGCAAAACACTGCAATTCAATTGTTAAAATAAAAGAATGATACACAGGATGAGTTTGGAACAATGACATGTCTGTACATCCTGTGATTATAAACCATTGACAGTGTTACTGGCAGTCAAAGCTGCCAGTTGTAGCTTCAAAGAATTATGAATACGTATAATAAAAAAAAATCAAGGAATAAAGAAATTGTATATAATTACTTATATAAAGAGGTTTATTGGTTGGTGTAAATGTTTTATGTTTCATGTTCATGTTTTATTTCAAATTCAAGAAAATGACATGAAAAATATTGTTTCACACTATTGTTTTAGCAGGTCATGACCTGATATTTCACTCTGAGAGGTTGGCAATACTGTATATCTCACTCGTGTATGGGTGATTTGATTGGCTTATATATCACTCACCTGACCCAAGATCTCCATCTTCTCGAATGTATCTTTTCTGAAATTAGTAGCAAACATAAGTAAAACGTAAGTATTTCAGGAGTAAACAGAAATAACAATAATAATAATTCACAACACATGTATGTTTTGTAATAATTTGAATGTGCAATCATGTTGTCAAAAATATTTAGAATATTAACCATCTCTTCATCGTAGCGAGATCCTGCCTCAACATAGGGTGATTTGAATAGCCTACCATCTGATGAATGTTGGCTAATGTAATGATACGATTTGTCATTATACTTTCCTGATTTCCCTATTAAACTACATCATTTCCTTTTACACTTTCATCATTTCCAAACAGACTCACTTGATCTCTTGTTAGACTTGCATGATTTCCAATTTGACTAACTTGATTTCCCATTAAACTTACATGATTTCCCATTAGACCTACATGATTTCCCATTAAACTTACATGATTTCCCATTAAACTTACGTTATCTCCCTTTGCAGCTCTTCTTCAGCAGACTTGTTATCTGTTGGAACGATGCTTGCCCGAAATGTTCGATAAAATTCTTGTTCCTCAGAATTTTCTGTTTTAAGAAAAAATATTTCTTGTTTTGACTAATCTTAAAAAGATATACCTGGTATATACACCTTCCTGTTCAGAGGATACCTGACAAACAACATGGAACAAAATGTTGAAGATGGTGGCAAAAGCATCCATCTGGAATACAGCAAAGTTCGAGTTTTGGTTTTGACTATATATGTGAACCACACACTAAATATTTTAATAATTTTAAATTACATAATAGTTTGAGAATAGCACACTGCCATCTATAAATCCCTTCATTTTTTTCTGACAAAATGTATTGTAAAACTTTCTTAAAACATGACTACTGACAACTTCTGATGTTTTCATAATTGTCCAGAAAGGGTAGTTGAGTTTTAGAAAGATAGAAATCCTCCAATAAGGTAGGTGTGTTATAGAAATCCACCAATAAGGTAGGTATGTTATAGAAATCCTCCAATAAGGTAGGTGTGTTATAGAAATCCACCAATAAGGTAAGTGTGTTATAGAAATCCTCCAATAAGGTAAGTGTGTTATAGAAAGATAGAAATCCTCCAATAAGGTAGGTGTGTTATAGAAATCCCCCAATAAGGTAGGTGTTTTATAGAAATCCTCCAATAAGGTAGGTGTGTTATAGAAATCCTCCAATAAGGTAAGTGTGTTATAGAAATCCTCCAATAAGGTAGGTGTGTTATAGAAATCCTCCAATAAGGTAGGTGTGTTATAGAAATCCTCCAATAAGGTAGGTGTGTTATAGAAAGATAGAAATCCTCCAATAAGGTAGGTGTGTTATAGAAATCCTCCAATAAGGTAGGTGTGTTATAGAAATCCTCCAATAAGGTAAGTGTGTTATAGAAAGATAGAAATCCTCCAATAAGGTAGGTGTGTTATAGAAATCCTCCAATAAGGTAGGTGTGTTATAGAAATCCTCCAATAAGGTAGGTGTGTTATAGAAATCCACCAATAAGGTAAGTGTGTTATAGAAATCCTCCAATAAGGTAGGTGTGTTATAGAAAGATCGAAATCCTCCAATAAGGTAAGTGTGTTATAGAAAGATAGAAATCCACCAATAAGGTAAGTGTGTTATAGAAATCCTCCAATAAGGTAGGTGTGTTATAGAAATCCTCCAATAAGGTAGGTGTGTTATAGAAATCCTCCAATAAGGTAGGTGTGCTATAGAAAGATAGAAATCCAGCAATCTTGTGACATGTTTACATCAGTTTTTTTCCTGGTATACATTTCCAGCAATTCTTGTTTTATTTACCTTTGCCCACAACAACAATGTAAACTTACTTTTTCCCGTCATTTTCTTTCTTGCCGAGGCTTTCGTCTTCAGACTTAACATACTAAATTGTGTGATTTTCTCTGACTTGACCTTGGGTTCCTCCTAAAGCAGATTATATGTTACAAAGTTAATGACTTCATGAGATGATTCAATACTGTCTGGATCCAAAAATAAAATAAATGATATCACTGTACAGACACTTGATTCTTAGATAGAGTTGAAGCGTTAAGGATGATAGGGGATGTTAACTCAGATTTAGATGTTGTAGGTACAGCACTTAATGATAAATACTTGGTACAGAATTTAGTAACCTCTACATCAGTCTCAAAACATAATAATTTGTTATAGATAAAGATACTGTTTATAACTTCATCAAGTTTATCAATATGTTTCCAGCATTTATCCAGTTCATGTACAACAAAGCTTCGTTAAGCTGATGCACTGGGTGACTTTTATCAGACAAATGCCTAGTAATTCATAAGTAAAATATGATGTTATGTTTACAGGCTATACAACCTAGCGTCGTTACAGGCTATACAACCTGGCGTCGTTACAGGCTATACAACCTGGCGTCGTTACAGGCTATACAATCTAGTGTCGTTACAGGCTATACAATCTAGTGTCGTTACAGGCTATACCATCTAGTGTCGTTACAGGCTTTACAATCTAGTTTCGTCACAGGCTATACAATCTAGTGACGTCACAGGCTATACAATCTAGTGTCGTCACAGGCTATACAACCTAGTGTCGTTACGGGCTATACAACCTAGTGTCGTTACGGGCTATACAATCTAGTGTCGTTACGGGCTATACAATCTAGTGTTGTTACGGGCTATACAATCTAGTGTCGTTACGGGGCTATACAATCTAGTGTCATTACGGGCTATACAATCTAGTGTAGTTACGGTCTATACAATCTAGTGTCGTTACGGGCTATACAATCTAGTGGTGTTACGGGCTATACAATCTAGTGTCGTTACGGGCTATACAATCTAGTGTTGTTATGGGCTATACAATCTAGTTACAGGCTATACAATCTAGTGTCGTTACGGGCTATACAATCTAGTGTTGTTACGGGCTATACAATCTAGTGTTGTTAAGGGCTAGTTACGGGCTATACAATCTAGTGTTGTTACGGGCTATACAATCTAGTGTTGTTATGGGCTATACAATCTAGTGTCATTACGGGCTATACAATCTAGTGTCGTTACGGGCTATACAATCTAGTGTCGTTACGGGCTATACAATCTAGTGTCGTTACGGGCTATATAATCTAGTGCTGTTACAGGCTATACAATCTAGTTTTGTCTTGCCTATACTTAGACAAATGGTAGTGAGATCCTGAAATGATCTTGTTACCACTGACCTTCAAATGTCAAGTATTAAAGGTTGGGGAAGCAGGAATAATACTATCTAGTGGTGGAAAATTCATATTGGGAAGAGTTGCACATGTCCTTGACGTGGTCAACAAGGTAAAATGAAATCACCTTTAAATCTACACATGAAATTAAAGAATCAGAACTTTTGAAAATAAACTTACTGATTCTGTTGTCACCTCACACTCGTCTTTTTCCTGTATCCTTTCTTCATTCTCTCCATCGGATGGATTCAGATCTTCTCTGTTTGTGATGTCAGACATAAGTCCTTCATTTATGGATGATGATGATGGAAAATGACAGTCATCAGAAGAACAAGACTTTGTATATCCCTGTGACTTCGAAACAGAATTTTTTAGAAGAAACTGAGATTTCTCCGCTTTAAAGTTGCTTAGTTTTGATACAGACTTAAACAGAAGTTTTGCTTCATCATCATGTCTTGATTTGTCACTAAAAGAAAACTCAGATTTGTTTAAGTTATTGTCAGATGAGCAGATTCCATCCTTTGGAGAAGATTCATCATGGGAAGTAGGACTTGTGGTCACATCATCACCAAGATCTTTGGATACAGATGGAAGCTGTTCACATTTTGATAAAGGACTATTCAATTTATTAGAATTTGATGAGTTCACAGTTTCCTGACTATCAAAACCTGAAGTCAGAGAATCTTGTGAATTTAACAGGAAAGTGTCCTGTGAACTTTGACCCTGTGAACTCAATGTTACTGAATCTTGTTGAAATTTTGCCCTTTGACCTGGTGAACCTAACATTACTGTATCTTGTTGAACTTCTGCTCTCTTTGTCATTGTTTCCTTTGAACTCTGACTTAGTGAACCAACGATCATTGTATCCTTGGGGGAGCTGATCCCCGATTCACATCGCGTTGGTGAGACAGGTTTAGACATCATTTCCACACTAAGAACAACAACCTCCTCCGATGGGGCCATGGTCTTTGTGGGGTCAAGGTCAGGTTCACAATCAGATAATGAAACCGTCTTCTTGGTGACAAAGGTGTCAAGTTTCCTCTCTGTTAAAAAGAAATTCATTTAAAACAGACATGTTATGAAGATTAAGCCAAGGTAATTTTTAATTCTTTTAATAAAACAGGTTATTTATTTGACTTCCATCTTTTACCTTCAATCATGAAAGCGATTCGCGTGTGAATACTATTCAACAAGTATCTATACTGCTGAGCTGGGTCTCATACCCTTTGATACCAAAGTACATGTTAATTTTTTACAAATACAGCAAGAACTTCCTGTCTAGCAATAAATATACCAAACAGCACAATAAAGAATTAGGAATATGTGTAGTAAAGACATGGGTTCTCCTTGGCCCAAAAAACCTAACTTATATCAAATACATGGATCCTACCTGGAGCCTGAGGCCTAACTCATATTAAACACATGGGTTCCACTTGGTGTGTGAGGCCTATTTGATATATACTAAACACATGGGTCCACTTGGTGTGTGAGGCCTATTTGATATATACTAAACACATGGGTCCACTTGGTGTGTGAGGCCTATTTGATATATACTAAACACATGGTCCCACTTGGTGTGTGAGGCCTATTTGATATATACTTAACACATGGGTCCCACTTGGTGTGTGAGGCCTATTTGATATATACTAAACACATGGGTCCACTTGGTGTGTGAGGCCTATTTGATATATACTAAACACATGGGTCCCACCTGGTGTGTGAGGCCTATTTGATATATACCAAACACATGGGTCCCACCTGGTGTGTGAGGCCTATTTGATATATACTAACACATGATATATATATTTATGGGTCCCACCTGGTGTGTGAGATATATACTAAACACATGGTCCCACCTGGTGTGTGAGGCCTATTTGATATATACTAAACACATGGGTCCCACCTGGTGTGTGAGGCCTATTTGATATATACTAAAGACATGGGCTCTACTTGGTGTGTGAGGCCTATTTGATATATACTAAACACATGGGTCCTACTTGGTGTGTGAGGCCTATTTGATATATACTAAACACATGGGTCCTACTTGGTGTGTGAGGCCTATTTGATATATACTAAACACATGGGTCCCACCTGGTGTGTGAGGCCTATTTGATATATACCAAACACATGGGTCCCACCTGGTGTGTGAGGCCTATTTGATATATACTAAACACAGGAGGAATAGGATTTTACAGAATTTGCATTATTTTTCCTCTATTGGGCCCCTCCCCTTCAAGCGAAGAATGCCCAGACCCATCATTTACAAACAATTTGTTCCCCTTCCCAAAAGGATGCTTAGACCAAATTTAGTCAAATCTGCTCAGTCAAGTGGGTCAAGGTCATTCATTTGAACAAATTTGATATCTTTTATCCCCGAATGCTACGTCAGGCCCATATTAGCATCTTGACTTTTTCGTTATTGAAAAGATGGCTCACAACTAAGGATGAAACAGTCAATGGCTATAAAAATTTGATGGAAGGACAGATGGACGGGCAACACCAAGGTAGGGTGACATAAGATCAGTACTTTAGGTCAGGTGAGCTAGCCAGCAGTGGAATGTTGATGTTAGTATCAGTAAGGGGGTAGAGCGGAAAGAGGGTGGTTGGAGGGAGATGAGGTAAATTGTACTGTAATCAGTATATTATAGAAATTTAACTAGGGTCACTTTCGCTTAAGTGGTTGAAACAGTAGGACCGGTTGGACTTGCAAGAAAAACGCCATGGTCAGATCATAAACGAGGTTGAACTGTGGAATATTTGGCATGTGCAGATAGAAACTAAATTGCTGAATATCATTAGTTTTCAGAATTTCAGCATAAAGTAGGGTCTGTACACACAGACATTTCTGGAGGGATTGTGCTATTAAGTAGGAGTGAAATGGATGGTTTACTTTTGTTAATTGTTGACAGGAAATTCTGAAACTGTGCATTTTGAGCTTTATATATAACAGGTTCAACTTCTGGAACATGTGTGTTTGTGTAAAGTGGAATAATTCCAGACCACCTGAACTGTTTCAATCAGGTTTACACGAAAGCAACCTTTATCACTTGTGATGATCACTATAGAGTTGATTTTACTTCCAGCCTAAACTTACGTTTGGATTTTTGTTCTTTTTTCGAAGCATCTTCACAGGCTGAAAACACACTAGCATAAGATCTCTTCAGCTTACTTAGAGAGCTTATTGTCTGTGGAATAAAAAAAAAACATGTTTTTTATTTTCACAATCTGACTAATGTACCATAAATAATATTCATAAAATGGTGTCATTTGATTCACCAGTCTACATCAGAGAAACAAGAATGAATTTTTTTAAATTTCTATTTTTTCAAACATCAATATATAATGATAAACAAACACACACTTGTAAATGAATTTGTTTTGAATTACAAAGAATGGTTGGTTCCCCTGGTTTTTTGTATGGAGTGACATGATTACCTCGTTATTCATTGAATATACCCATGTAATATTTTTTGCATTTTGTACATGTGTAATATAACCTATTGTGACATCGGGTTTGGATAAGGATGTCCAACGCTCACAGATTAGAACAATGTAGCAATAGAAATTATATGTGTAGCCAAAATGACATCAAGTTTGAAGTTTGGATATTTCCGTTTTCCACATCTATAAGAATAATTGATCAAGAGATATCTATTATGAAACTTATCACAAATTTTTCATTTTAGCTCATGAATTTAAAAAAAGAAAATCATAAATCAAAAATCAAAAGGAAACTCTTGTAAAATTCTATATATTTATGTATGTGCACAAAACTACAATAGGTTTATGTAAGCCTGAAGATGACTATATAGTGTAACCACACCGAAATATACATATCGCTTAAGTCCAAAGCAGGACACCCTATCTGTTCATATCATACCGACAACAGACAAACCAGTTCTTTCACAACCACAATGCCATGTGTTGATCAGTTAGGGGTATGCTCTGACCAGAGGACCTAACTTTATCCTTCATCACAGCACCAATGTTCCACTAGAGGGCAATAGTGAGGCAGTGTCAATGGAGACAATAGGGAAAATATAGTTGTTTAGAAGAAAATAAAAGATTAGATCTCAAATTAAGTTACCTTAAACAACATGCAATGGGGTATACCTATAGGGCAACATGATGAGTTATGATATAAACCTCATGGATCTACTTACTGTATTCAAGCTAGGAACTGGATCTTCTGGAACTCTTGAATGTAAAAACAAATTGTATTGAGTTTTACCAGCAGCGACTGTTATAACAAAAATGAACTCTCTGAAGTTAATTCAACAGAACTTTTATATAAGGAAACCTTGGGGAGATCTTGAAACCCACTCCAAGTATCTCACTCCTTTTTAAGATATTCACTAAAATATTTTAACCCTCAAAATTGAACATGGCCATCTCTCTGCCATACTGGTTTCCAAATAGATTGTAACTAGAAGAAGTGTCATGCAGGGGCCAAATCATACCCACTCACCCCTCCCTCCTCTCCACTGTTCCAAAAAGGGGTAATAACTTTCTGAAAAGGGGAGGTAGCTGAACCCAATATAGATTACGCACATCTACAATGTATAAGGATAATAGCGAGCAAGTATCGTTGAAATCAATTTAACAGTTTAGGAGTAGTAGTTGGTACATTGTTGCATCTACAGATGGATGGACGGATGGATGTTGGGACTAAAGATGGACACATGGACAGACAGATAGAAAGTCACTAGAGATTGGTCCTTCAGGTACTTACCGGTTAACCTGTTTCCTTGTTTCCCAGTCTTTTGTAGAGTTCCCTAAGAATAAAACAGGTTACATATTTTGATATTTCTACTCTTGGCACTACCAGTAAGACATTGAATTAATGGAGCCATGACAGGACTATATATAGGTCACCAAAGGTTACAGGTCAAACCGTTCGACAATATGAATCGTCATGAATTAATTTTTTTGCTCTCTCTATGAAAATATAATCAAACAAGAAAAATGTCCTTTAAGGACCTCTAGCAGCAAGTTCTAATTAATCTGTAGTGTATTATAATGTTTATCTGTAACCCTTCTTATCCAACAGCTATTCTTTATGTTACATGCAGTTTCTCAAGGGACTCACAGGCACCTTGAATTTTATTTGCACTTTAAAAATATAATTTGATCAGCTTATTCAAATAACCAGTCATAGCAATTCTCATAAAAATTTGCTAAACAAAATTCTACAGATGATAGATAGACCTCACAGTGATAGATCACAAAAGTTAGCTAAACATGGTTAAAAAAGATTTACAAAAAAGAGATGTAACACCAAATTTGTTATTCCAATTCAAGAAAAGTTTTTAAAATCTGAAGTACGAGGATATTAAGACCATGTGTTCAGGCGTCTGCTTCTCCAATGACATCCACAACATGTATCATCGTTATACCAATTAGGTAATGTCACATTTTCACAAAAATAGCTCTGAAAATGCGGGCAATACCCCACAGCCTTATCATAAAGTTGAAAATTTGTGGTTGGGGTGAGTGGAAAGTTATCTCAAGAATGGGTTGTGTAGGACGGACGGACAGACAGACGGACGAACGTCGGGCTGTGGGGTAATAATCAATAATATCACATTCCCACAATATTGTCATATTCCCACAATAATGTCACATTCCTACAATAATGTCATATTCTCACAATAATGTCGCAATTTCTAAACATCAATGTCCCATCCCCAAAGAAATCAATAATGTCACATTTTCACAATAATGTCACATCTTCACTATTATCAATGTCCCATCCCTACAATAATCAATAGTGTCTGTTTTTATTATACACTATGATCAATTTTGATGCTTTCTTGGGGAAATAAAGAATCCAAGAGATCTACTCATTGTAGTGTCTAAGACATGGACAATTTGGTTGTAATATTTCTAAAACTGGAAGAGAAGATTTTTTAGTGATTTAAAACCCTATACGCCGCATCTTGGATGAAATCCTTAACAACTAGGACTCCTTTGGACAGATAAAACCCAATGTTAACAACTAGGACTCCCTTGGTCAGATAAAACCCAATCTTAACAACTAGGACTCCCTTGGTCAGATAAAACCCAATGTTAACAACTAGGACTCACTTGGTCAGATAAAAGTCAGTCTTAACTAGGATTACCAAGGATCAGTCGGGTTCAATTTTTTGTGGGAAATTGAATTTTGATTTATATAGTCAGTCGACAAAATGTTATGACAGATGCCCGAAAGACATTTACTATTTAGGTTATTCTGACTCTTGAAAGTTAAATGAGATAAAAAAAAAACCTGACAGTTGGACAACTCTTAATTCATGACAGATTGAATAGTACCTCCAATGCTACTTGTAGAAACTGGCTTGATTTGTAGGATTCCAATTGTAGGCTGGTAGAGACCAAGCAGGGACGTCTGAAGAGCAAAAAACAGAAATCAAGTGATGTCACACACAGAGACGCCACACAATATGAATTATGACGTCACAGAGACACATAAGACTCCAAGAAAGACATGACTTTCATATGAAAATCACTACAAAGTGATCACTCTATTTGCCAATCGGTTGCTATGGTGAGAGTTAAACTGGTCTGTCTTCCTGGTACATCATGGTTACTTAGTTAACTAATCCTGAGTGTTCACTCGTTGTCTACTCTGTATCCACTTTTTTGGCCACTCTTTGTATGCCGTAAATACTAAAAAAACATTGCAGTGAATATGATATGAAAATACTTTCCCTTTTTTTTTTCAAGAATTCAACATTCTGTGATGTTCAACTGAATAGACAACGAGTAGAGAGATACTGTTTATCAGGAATTTTTGGGGAGTATCCAATTTTCGCGAATTCAGCCACCCTTTCAAAATCGCAAAAAATTTAAATCACCAAAAGAGCATGTTTCCTTCTTTATTGTAAATGCAGGAGCAATGCATATATAGCTACATGTACCTCAACACTTTCTAGTCATGAATACTTCTTTGATAGATAAATCTTGTGTCTTAGTAGGACTGCCTAGTTAGATATCTGGTAAAGTTAGAACTTACACTGGTATATGCGTAAAAGATTGTAATCTACAGGCTGCAAAAGTTTGTAATCTACCGGCTGCAAAAGATTGTAATCTACCGGCTGCAAAAGATTGTAATCTACCGGCTACAAAAGTTTGTAATCTACAGGCTGCAAAAGTTTGTAATCTACATGCTATAAAAGATTGTAATCTACCGGCTGCAAAAGTTTGTAATCTACAGGCTGGCTGCAAAAGATTGTAATCTACAGGCTGCAAAAGATTGTAATCTACAGGCTGGCTACAAGTTACAAAAGTTTGTAATCTACAAGCTGCAAAAGTTTGCAATCTACAGGCTGCAAAAGTTTGTAATCTACAGGCTGCAAAAGTTTGTAATCTACAGGCTACAAAAGTTTGTAATCTACAGGCTGGCTACAAAAAATTGTAATCTACAGGCTACAAAAGATTGTAATCTACGGGCTGCAAAAGTTTGTAATCTACAGGCTGCAAAAGTTTGTAATCTACAGGCTGCAAAAGTTTGTAATCTACAGGCTACAAAAGTTTGTAATCTACAGGCTGCAAAAGTTTGTAATCTACAGGCTACAAAAGATTGTAATCTACCGGCTGCAAAAGTTTGTAATCTACAGGCTGGCTACAAAAGTTTGTAATCTACAGGCTACAAAAAATTGTAATCTACAGGCTGCAAAAGATTGTAATCTACAGGCTGGCTACAAGTTACAAAAGTTTGTAATCTACAAGCTGCAAAAGTTTGCAATCTACAGGCTGCAAAAGTTTGTAATCTACAAGCTGCAAAAGTTTGTCTCTGTGAAAACAAAGGCAGATACATAATTATCATGTATAGACATTTCAACCTCAAACTGTCCAGAATCCTACTGAGATTACAAAAATCAAAACTAACTGCAACCATTACACGATCAAAGAAATTTGGTCGCATCACATCAACTACACTAAGTGACTTAACTTACCTTGATTGTAGCCAACAAGAGTTTCTCGTCCTGCATGAAGATTTGACGTTTGTCAGGAGTAACGTTGACATCGACGGCGTCCTTTGCCATGGTAACATGTAGGGTCACAAATGGGTACTGATGCCGGTTGAATTGGTGGTAAACCTCATTTACTACTTTAGATAACTGTAAATATGTGAATGGCAGTTTGGGTCAAGGTCATATGAACTAAGTCATTGGAATAAACACACAACTAAACACAGTTTAAACTTAGATATCAAATATACCCCACTAATGGAATATCAATAATTTTCTGGTGAAAAAATTATTATTTTTCAGATTTTCTTTTAGCACAAGTTTTGTATTTGTTTTCTTTCTTTCTGGATAAATACAGTGATCTCTAGGAACGATATCAAACTAACCAGAATTGCGAAATAATCCCATGTCCTGAAACATTCAAACTTCTCCTCTGAAACCAGAAAGTATAGCCAAAGTAACAGTATATGTCTGATGGCTTTCTTGGATGAAATTCAATGAAGTTTGAAATTTACCATGCATATTTTTATGGTCACAGAAAAGTAATCCTGAATGTAACTTAGTAATAGGATATCACAGTTCAAACTATATCCTTGTACACAATATCTTGACTTTGGCTTGTTGACTGATAGACCTGCTAAAAATTTCCAAAACAAGTCAGGAGAAACAGCTTTACCTTGGCTGAATCACAGGGCCGTTTGTTGATGAAGAAATACTGTCTGTCTGCACTGCTTCGACCATGTCCATGGACACACGGAGAAATAAAGCCATCAAGTCTGAAACACACACTGCTGGTCAGTACAATGAGCAATGCAGTAAGTCTGGGGTCCATCACATAATCTCTCACTAAACATCACGGGTGGGCTTATGACAGGACCTCAGCAGTCCAACACATAACCTCTCACTTAACATCAGGGGTGGGCTTATTACAGGACCTCAGAAGACCAACACATAATCTCTCACTAAACATCAGGGGTGGGCTTATTACAGGACCTCAGCAGTCCAACACATAACATCTCACTTAACATCAGGGGTGGGCTTATTACAGGACCTCAGCAGTTCAACACATAACATCTCACTAAATATTAGGGATGGGCTTATTACAGGACTTCAGCAGTCCAACACATAACCTCTCACTAAATATTAGGGGAGGGCTTATTACAGTACCTCAGAAGAGCAACACATAACCTCTCACTTAACATCACGGGTGGGCTTATGACAGGACCTCAGCAGTCCAACACATAAATTTCACTTAACATCACGGGTGGGCTTATGACAGGACCTCAGCAGTCCAACACATAAATTTCACTTAACATCAGGGGTGGGCTTATTACAGGACATCAGCAGTCCAACACATAACATCTCACTAAATATTAGGGGTGGGCTTATCACATGACCTCAGCGGTCCAACACATAACCTCTCACTTAACATAAGGGATGGGCTTATTACAGGACCTCAGCAGTCCAACACATAACATCTCACTAAATATTAGGGGTGGGCTTATCACATGACCTCAGCGGTCCAACACATAACCTCTCACTTAACATAAGGGATGGGCTTATTACAGGACCTCAGCAGTCCAACACATAACATCTCACTAAATATTAGGGGTGGGCTTATCACATGACCTCAGCGGTCCAACACATAACCTCTCACTTAACATAAGGGATGGGCTTATTACAGGACCTCAGCAGTCTAACGCATAACCTCTCATTTAAAAATCAGTTTGGGCTTATTACAAGGACATTTTCTTACTTGTTGTGTGTGCTTATTCCTGGTTTATGCTACATAATCTTACATATCCTACCTGAATGGGACGTCCACATTGGAGGATGCCATGCCATATTCACTACACACCTCCTCACTAGGACCAAGTTGTTTAATTTCAAGTAGATTGTTCGTCTGAAAAAAAAAATATCAAAACAAAAAAACAAAAGCCATTTTTTATTTTCTGTTTATGCGCCTTATGAAACTAGAAAACTATGGGGTGAAATGATATATCCATGTCTCATTCCAGAATGTACAAAATATGAAAATGAACAAATATCGCTAAATCAAAATGGCATAAAAAAGTAAATGTCATTCTAATAAAGCCTCTTACCCTGTCTTAGTCAACTTTTGTATCAATTTATAGGTATATGGTGCAATGATTTAGAACCAGACATGAAAACGTGAAATAAGGGGATCATTACACAAACAATAACAACGATTAGATTTACTTACCTGTTTGGGTCCAAATACATTGGATATGTTGTCTCTTAGGGTGCTATTTCCTTTACTGGACACCATGACAGACCGCTGACTGAAACAGTAACACACACTACTATACACCATGATAGACAGCTGACTGAAACAGTAACACACACTACTATACACCATGATAGAACAGTAACACACACTACTATACACCATGATAGACCTCTCACTGAAACAGTAACACACACTACTATACACCATGATAGACCTTTCACTGAAACAGTAACACACACTACTATACACCATGATAGACCTCTCACTGAAACAGTAACACACACTACTATACACCATGATAGACCTCTCACTGAAACAGTAACACACACTACTATACACCATGATAGACCTCTCACTGAAACAGTAACACAACCTACTATACACCATGATAGACCTCTCACTGAAACAGTAACACACACTACTATACACCATGATAGACCTCTCACTGAAACAGTAACACACACTACTATACACCATGATAGACCTCTCACTGAAACAGTAACACACACTACTATACACCATGATAGACCTCTCACTGAAACAGTAACACACACTACTATACACCATGATAGACCTCTCACTGAAACAGTAACACACACTACAATACACCATGATAGACCTCTCACTGAAACAGTAACACACACTACTATACACCATGATAGACCTCTCAGTGAAACAGTAACACACACTACTATACACCATGATAGACCTCTCACTGAAACAGTAACCCTTAAGCCATTTTAGATTACTACTTACCCTTTGTCGTTCTGATTTGAACAGGTGATCCGTACATTTGTGCTGATGATGCAGTATGAATTCACTACATTTACCATCTTCGTAAACTCCTTTTTGATATTGCGCTGGAATTCTTTATGTCGCACAGGCAGAGTGGAGAAAACATTTTGAAGGGTGACTGTGGTACCAACCTTCAAAAAAAACAATTTCCATTCCCACCAATCACACAAAAATATGTTGTGGTGTAAAGATATTAACTTCAAGTTCAAATGAAAGGTGTGGACTGTTTACATCCTTTTCTTGCAGTAATATGTTTATATGTAAGTAATTAAATGACAAATATTTGATATGTAATCAAACGATAGATATTTGATTCTTAATCAAACAATAAATATTTGAAACAATTCTATACAGTATATATGGCCAAGCAGAGGAATTGGATCAGTTCAACACTTATATCTACTTCAAATTCAATTCTGAACAAAGATAAGCAGCCAGGAATTAAACCAATTTAAGTCATTTCTGAAATACATTTTTTTCGTACATTCTCATCTTTTTTTAAAGGGGGTAAAACCAAGAGGCCGAGGGGCCTGAATGGTCAACTGAGTGAGCTCACAAACAGATTAAGCAATTATAATGAGTTTGTAACATAAAAAAGAGAAAATGAGAAAGGCTATTTATACAGACAAAGGATAGTTTTACTGAAGTTGTAGCTCATTACTGTATAACTTTCATGATGTAACAGAGACCTAATAAACTATTTTAATCTTTAATCTTTTCCCCCTCCCCAGGGGAAACGCGAGACCCTGGGGTCATGAAATTTACCAATTCTAGTAAAGCTGTTTATAAGACCCTTCCATCCATGAAGAGTATTTCATTCTCCCTCTGGTGCTGTGAAGTTTTCTGTAAATTTTCATCAAAATATGTAGAGAAAATTGTATATGAAGTTTTGTACACAACTGACATCATCGGACAAAAGGAGACCAGAACAGGTCGCAATGAGATAATCTAAAAAATTTTATGAAATATTCAGAAATTTTGCACAGTTTAATCTCAGGGTGAAATAAAAAATTGCTTTTAAAAGTTTTAAGTTAAAGTGGAAATTAATGTTTATGAGGCAAAAAAAAAGGGGGGGGGGAGGAAATGAAACCTATAAAACTCTGGGCAAATGTTTCCCTTTGAATAGAATTCAGATATCGATACGGACAAAGATAATTACCTGTCTTGCTTGCGCTGTCCTCTGTGTAATTTTACCATTATGATCAAACTCTAATCTTGTCCCCACATCTGAACTTGAGTGTCTGGTCACAACTGTAAGGTTACTGAAGCAACATAAAAACATCGACATAAAACTGCATTCGACTTTTAAACATGCTTTTTGTACATTCAATCTCTCAATATTATTTCCAGATTTAAAGAAAAACAAGAGGCCCAATGGACCAGCATCGCTCATTTGTTTCATTTAGCTGTTCAGTCATTTAATGAAGAATTTCAAATTTAACAAACAATTTCTGATATAATTTCTCTATTGGGTCCCCCCTTGTGGTCAAACAGAGGTCAGATTCACTATTTATGAAAGTTTCTTCAGACCAAACTTTGATAATATCCTGGTAGAGAAGAAGGATTTTTAAGAACTTACATTTCCCCAACTGGGCCCATCCCTCGAGTTCTGGGCGGTCATGGTGCACCTTCTATACAGAACTTATCTCCTTTCACCGAAGAATTCTTCAGACCAAATTTGGGCAAGGTTCAATCATTCCTACAGGAGGAATAGGATTTTAAAGAGTTGGCTCTATTTCCCACATTGGGCCCAGCATTCCATTGCAAGGGGGTCATGACTTCCAATTTATACAAAGAAATTTGCTCTGATTCTACGATTGGGTACTGCCCCTCCTGTCTCAGGGGACCAGAATTCATTCCCTTCACCCAAGAATGCTTCAGACCGAATTTGGGCAATATCTATTCATTCCTACAGGAGCAGTAGGATTTTAAAGGATTTGCTCTATTTCCCCTGTATGGGCTCCAACTATCCTGTCCCAGGGAGCCAAGATCCACGCTTTTCACAAAATTCATTCCTCTTTCCCCAAGGATGTTTCTGACAAAATTTGGTCATAATCAGCTCAGTCGTTCATGACTAGTAGCAATTTGTTGAAAAAGTTAATGGATGGATGGACGGATGGACATGAATGACAGATGCCGCAGTATGCCAATAGCTCACTTCGCCCTTTGGAATATGTGAGCTAAAAACCTTTGTGGTGCAATAAACATGCTGTGATGAGAAGAGGGTATCTTAAATATCATTCAATGTAAAAATATGATTCAATTCTCAAAGAAATATTTTACAATTCTGCCTGAAATTATTTCACTGAAACTGGAGTCAATTTACATACCTCAATGCACACAAGGAGCTCAGAGCCTCGCCTCGAAATCCAAAGGTTTCCACTCCAACCAGGTCAGAAAAGTCCTGCAGTTTTGAAGTATGATGCTTCAAGGCTTCAAAAACAAGGATAAAGAAGTCTGAATCTTGTGGCCATGACGGATCACAGACATATGAAATAAATATATAGGTATACTAATGTAAATACTGAAAACAACATGTTACAGGTGAGTATTACAGAGTTCACCTATTTCCTATGTCCACTTCATGACCAATGCAGTTTAACATAAAGGTACATTACACTTGTATTGTTTATGCTTGTACTGTTTACGGTTATGTGCATAAGGACTGTGCAATTCTTTCGAGCACTTTTAAACATCTAATGAATAGGAAATGAAAACATCTTGAAGAAATTTTGACAAAATGTAAATCCCTTAATCAGTAACATTTTACAAAAAACTAAGCAACATTAACACTACCTATATTACAGTGAAAAACCAGGACCTTGCCACTAACTACAATGGCAACACAAGAAGTCGACACTAATTACAGTGAAAAACCAGGACCTTGCCACTAACTACAATGGCAACACAAGAGGTTGACACTAATTACAGTGAAAAACCAGGACCTTGCCACTAACTACAATTGTAACACAAGAGGTTGACACTAATTACAGTGAAAAACCAGGACCTTGCCACTAACTACAATGGTAACACAAGAGGTCGACACTAATTACAGTGAAAAACCAGGACCTTGCCACTAACTACAATGGGAACAGAGGAGGTAGACACTAACCATATTTGGAAACCAGGACCTTGACATTACCTACAGTGGGATCACAGGCTGTTGACACTAACTACAATGGAAACAATGGACGTCAACACTAATGACAATTGGAAGCCAGACCTATAAAGCATGATGCTGGTTCTGGATAAATTTTGTTGTACCTGGGACCTGAGAGAGAAATTCTCCAATAATTAAACCTAAAAAAATCCAAATAAATACTCTTACTATCAGCCAGAGATTAACTCTCCAATAATTAGATCTAAAAAAAATCTAAATAAATTTTCTGACCAATAGCCTGACGGGGGACTAACTTCTTATTTAAAAGACTGCAAAACCTCAGACTTCAAATCTGCAGTGAGATTTACTTATCAATAACCAGAATGGGACTCACACCTAGGACCTCTAAACTCCAGACACAGTCTCTAATCTAAAACCAGAATGGAACTCACACCTAGGACCTCTAAACTCCAGACAGAGTCTCTAATCTAAAACCAGAATGGGACTCACACCTAGGACCTCTAAACTCCAGACACAGTCTCTAATCTAAAACCAGAATGGGACTCACACCTAGGACCTCTAAACTCCAGACAGTCTCTAATCTAAAACCAGAATGGGACTCACACCTAGGACCTCTAAACTCCAGACAGTCTCTAATCTAAAACCAGAATGGGACTCACACCTAGGACCTCTAAACTCCAGACACAGTCTCTAATCTAAAACCAGAATGGGACTCTAATCTGGGACCTCCAAAGACCAGTCTCTAATCTGTAACCGGAATGGGACTCAAATCTGGACCTTCAAAATTCTTCTTCTCAACACCTGACCAATTGTCTATTACTTACTGCGACCTTCAAAGTTCTTCTCCTCCACACCCAACCCATTGTCTATTACTTACTGCGACCTTCAAAGTTCTTCTCCTCCACACCCAACCCATTGTCCATTACTTACTGAGACCTTCAAAATTCTTCTCCTCCACACCCAACCCATTGTCTATTACTTACTGCGACCTTCAAAATTCTTCTCCTCCACACCCAACCCATTGTCCATTACTTACTGAGACCTTCAAAATTCTTCTCCTCCATGTTCTTCTCCTCCACACCCATCCCATTGTCCATTACTTACTGAGACCTTCAAAGTTCTTCTCCTCCACACCCAACCCATTGTCTATTACTTACTGTGACCTTCAATGTTCTTCTCCTCCAGACCCATCCCATTGTCCATTACTTACTGAGACCTTCAAAGTTCTTCTCCTCCACACCCAACCTATTGTCTATTACTTACTGTGACTTTCAAAGTTCTTCTCCTCCCATTGTCCATTACCAGACCTTCAAAGATTCCACACAATCTATTACTTACTGTGACTTTCAAAGTTCTTCTCCTCCAGACCAGATTCACAATCTATTACTTACTGAGACCTTCAAAATTCTTCTCCTCCACACCAGACCCATTGTCTATTACTTCAACTACTTTGATACCATGGTCCCGTAATTTCACTTCTGAAAAAGAACATAAATTCAGCTTCAGAGACCAACTGAATTTTTATTTTGGCCAGAAGTACAAAATCTTTACCATCTCACAAAGGTGGAATACTATAAGACAAACCACTGGTTTTGGTTACACATGTGTATCAATCAATAATATACTTTCAACATTTCTTAAATTTCAGAAAGATGTTTTTTTACATTTCAACATGCAGTGTACTTAAGTTATCAAATTATAAAACACAAGAAATTCTCAATTCAGATCACTGGAACAAATAGACAGTGTTCATATCTGATGTGTGTCTTTTTAGTACATTTCCATGCTAACATCACCACTGTTAGGCAGTGTGATCCTCATGTAGAAATTAGGAAAATAACAATGTAGTATATTTCTGCCATTTGAAAGACGTTTCCTTTAACCATGCCTAGTCCTAGTTTCCTATTACCAAACCTACAGTCCTAGTCTTCTATTACCAAACCTACAGTCCTGGTCTTCTATAACCAAACCTACAGTCCTAGTTTCCTATTACCATGCCTACAGTCCTAGTCTTCCATAATCAAACCTACAGTCCTAGTTTCCTATTACCAAACCTACAGTCAAGTCTACTATAACCAAACCTACAGTCCCAGTTTCCTATAACCATACCTACAGTGCTAGATTCCTATAACCAAACCTACAGTCCTGGATACCTATTACCATATCTACAGTCCTAGTCTTCTATTACCATACCTACAGTCCTAGTTTCCTATATATCCAAACCTACAGTCTTAGTCTTCTATTACCATACCTACAGTCCTAGTCTTCTATAACCAAACCTACAGTCCTAGTTTCCTATTACCATATCTACAGTCCTAGTCTTCCATAACTAAACCTAGTCCTAGTTTCCTATATATCAAACCTACAGTCCTAGTCTTCTATTACCATACCTACAGTCCTAGTTTCCTATATATCCAAACCTACAGTCTTAGTCTTCTATTACCATACCTACAGTCCTAGTCTCATATTTCCATACCTACAGAAGTAGCACCAGCATCAATACTGTTTTCGATAAGTTCCTTCACAGCTGTAGCCAGTGTCAGTACCACTTGTCCAGAACAGATTCTGTGAACTGATCTCTTGTCTATGGCCTTGATGCTCCCAGCCTGGGGCAGCTCATCTTCAACACTATGATGAAAATGTTATTGAATTCACATAAAACAAATATATGTAATGTCAGGCCGAGCTCAGAAACAATGAATCAACATTAATTAAAGTGAAGCTGGATTATCACTGGAGTCAATTTATACGAGTTGAAGAAAAACATAATATTTTTCAAGAATGAAGTTTTGAGAATATTCAGAGGTTCAGAATATTCTCATCAGAATGTTTTAGGAAAGAAAAAGAATTCTGATCAGTTAAATCAGCCACTTTTCCATGGAGAATCTGCTCCCAAGTCTAAATCTACTAGAGCCACTGAGCCAGTTGAAATGAAGCACTAATCATATCACTAATTCTATGTCCTATGACAGCAATTTGTGACACATTTTCCTGTTTTAATGTACCATATATATTCTGTACTATTAATTGCCTGGGTGTAAGGCGACATGTGCACTCAACTTCTAAGGCAATAAGTAAATTGAATTCGTACCGTATAACCACATTCCATCATAGATAAACTACTGCAGTCATATAAGAGACGAAAACTTACCATACCGTTTCCTCCATTCTATTCATTTAGCAGCTTACAGCCAAGTTTCTCTTTGCCTTTTGGCGGGTAAAGAGGCAAACAAGACACGTTACCCCATGTGTGAGACGAATAACAAATAACAAATGTTAGAAGATTGTGTTAAATTCATAAAAAAAAAACAAATCAAACTGTACCAACTTCAAGAGTTGTCAATGAATATTATTTGTAAAAGAAGTATTTACGATAAAGTGAAACTACATATTATTGTACTAACGGAAATCGTAAACCTTCCACTAAAATTAAAACCAGAAGACGCAAAATTCCGGAATATTTTAAATCACGGAATGTTTTTCTAAGAAGTGTGATAAGATAATATGTGCAGTACAATATACAATGCAGATTTGGTTCTTTTTATCAAGATGATATTTGTCTTTGAATGTTTCTCAGAATATTGAACGTTCCGGAGTAAGATATTATTGTACATATAGTTCATATTCTTAACGTGAATATGTTTGAACAGAATACTGATGTGTCCGTGTGTATTTATAGTCATATCAAATATAAACACAACGTTTTGCATTCGATTGTATCATACATTTTTCATTCATAGTTTCTACAAAAATCAATTTCAATTTAAGTGAATTACATATACAAGTCAAACGTATTTTAGAGCATGTATGGAGTTTACTAAATCGTTCTAATTAACTTTTGTTCAGTCGATAGGTCATAGGACATCCCAATAAAATACGTATTCATGTAAAATCTGGCAAATAATGTAAATATAAACTTAATTCATTATTTGAGCTTCGGACGATCACACACCATAGATCATAACGGATGTCTTCTGTTTCGGTACAATGTAAAATAGCATGGCTTGCTATATCTGTATAGAAACAACTACAAGAGTGACACACACAAAAATGTGTATTAGGAACCCGTACAGATACCATCATTTTGATAATATACCGAACGATGTCCTGATATCTTGGATGATACAGAGCTAACAGTCGTGAAATAACCAAAGTCTGCGTCGTTGGACATTCTTTGTTTCCAAGCGTTCGTTTCGTAATCAGTTACAGATCTATAAACTAATGATGGTTTATTTGGGAAAATACCATCATGTAGGAATAGTTCGATATGTTCAAATAAATTATGCTTTTTAAGTATCTGGTATATATACCTCTTTAAGTACACTCCTTTACTGTATGTGATTTTTTTAAAAAATCTACAAGTAAATAATTTCTTTTCAAATAACACATCTTGCCCAGAAACAAAAGTTTTTTTTTCTAATCTCTGTTTAAGCTTGTAAAGACGCCCATCCAAGTAAACAGACTCAAGCGTCATTTCTTGTTCTCTTATCTAGACCCTGGACAGACTTAACTATAAGATGTTGGGTCCTCTCTAGCATTCAGTATTCTAAACTATCGTAATTCCGTATCGGTACAATGCAGAAGGCTAGACTTTACTTTTCACAATCTTTGAAACTGTTGATAGGTTCAGTTTCATTCACGGGGAAGTAACGGCTGTAAAACTGGTGAATGTGGCGGTAGAGAGGGGGTGGGGAAGGGAGGGATATGGTAATCAGCTTACACTCGTTAATAATCAGGTCAAAAGTAGGTTCCAGGATTGTGTTCTATGGTTTTCCTTATATGACATTCTTATATCATTCACACAGGGCAACCTGATGAGACGGAGGAGGAGGTAGTCCAGAACTCAAACCACAGCGACTACAGCGTCTATGAGCCAGACAATGAAGATGACACATCCAGTGAGGTCTTAGAGGAAGATCATGGGCAACAAGCACCAGTCATAGATCAACCTAGACAGGGACCTGATCATGGCGACAGGAACGGAAAGATCACAGATTATTCGGGAAGCAAGGGAGCATAAGGGAGGGCTTGCAGTGATCTGGTTGGATTTAGCCAACGCATATGGGTCGATGCCTCATAAGCTGGTCCAGCTGACCCTCGAGCGTTACCATGTTCTCGAGAAGACCAGACATCTGTTGGAAGACTCACTGACCAATCAGGATCTTGTTTGGGTAAAGTCAATGACTATTGACTGACTAAGTCGAATCTTGTTTTGGTTGATGAACCACACAAATACTCGTAAGTACTAGAAATTAGCCATTCTGGTTTTTTTTTTCAGTTAAATTATAAAAGTATATCAAATATGAAACAGTCAATTTGATTAAATTTCTATTCTTATCCTGAAAGCAAAACGGTTTTACCTTGCATTTAATGTGTTATAAATGAGTTATGACATTCATTTTGTTTCAGCTGATTTATTTTCTATGGTACAAATGATATCTACTGACAGCTGCAAAGGTGATAAAGTCTAAAAAAAAATAACTCATTCAATACATCAACAATAATATTTCAGGTTCTAGTTCCAGAAATATTAAAAAAGAAAAGAAATATTAAAAAATGAAATCAATTGATCAACATTTAGTTGTTTTTAAAGCATTTTAAGTAAAAAAAATTAGCATATAATTTTAACCAGAGCTACATATATCATTTTTCAGCATAGTGGAAAAATTGTAAAACGTCTGTTGTGCGGGGAAATAAAGATGGATGTTCGATCTTCTACTTTTTTTGTTTATAAAATGGAATTTCAACCTAATCAATTAAATATGATGAATAATTCCATTTTATTGATAACCAGTCGTACAAAGCACAAGTTTGCTGTAATTTGCTACAAATCATAAGAGACCTCTAGATATATAGAGATAATGATAATATACTGGACGCAGGCGTATTACGCCTATATATCCAGATCAAAGTTAAAAAGAATTAGTATCCCGAATACGGATCAGTGTGTTATTGTCTAGTTCATAATTATAAACATTCAGTTTGCCTCCAATCGAGATTCGAAAGTTTTGATTGTTGGTGACGTTATAACAGCATTAGGAAGTGAATTCCAGTGGTTTACCACACGTTCACAGAAAGAATACTTCCTCATATTTAATCTGCTCCTTCTTTTTAATAGTGGAAAACTGTGCCCTCGTGTTATATTGTTATTGTTTTGTATCAGGAAATCCTCAGCGAGAGCACTACCATATCCTCCATGTGTTAGTTTGTATACCTGAATCATATCTCCTCTCCAACTTTTGTGCCTCAGTGTCGGTAATTTAAGGATCCATAGCCTGCTTTCAGAGTTTAGGTCTTTCATTCCCGGTATTTGTTTCGTTGCTCTTTTCTGTACATTTTCCAACTCTTTTATGTCTTTTTGCAGATAGGGATTCCACACTCAGGACCCATATTCAAGGTGCGGACGTACAAGCGCTTTATATAAAAGACAGATGACTTTTTGTCGAAGTACGTGTATGTTCTTCGGATGGTTCCCATTATTCTATTGTCTTTATTGACTGCATCGTATATATTTGTTCGTTGAAATCAAGGTTGTTGTCTGTTATAATTCCAAGGTCCTTTTCTTTTGTTACCTGATCTAATGTAGCATCGACTCTTCCATTTCCCTCGTCTCTATATAAGTTTACCTGTGTATTATCGGTTTTCTTTCCTACGTGTATAACTTTGCATTTGTCCGCGTGAAATTTCAAGAGCCATGTATCGGACCATTGTTGAAGCTAATCTAAATCTTTCTGAAGATTCAAGTTATCATTATGAAAGTAAATTTTGCAAATAAATATGTTCTTGCGTTAATAGTTTCCGGAAGATCATTGATGTAAACTACGAAAAAAGGATGGACCTAAAACGCTTCCCTGTGGGATCCCACTTGTTACCGCCCTCCAGTCTGACATTTCCCAATCTACTGATACGTGCTGTTTTCTGCCAGTTAAGAAACTTTGAACCCATTTGATTATTTCTGGTGATAGTCCGTATGCCTTTAATTTGCCTAAGAGTCTTTGATATGGGACATTGTCGAATGCTTTCATAAAGTCTAGATACACAATTTGGATTGATCCCCCTGATCGATAATCTCTGTCCCATGATCAATAACTTTTAACATCTGTAAAACAGTTGACCTTCCGTTGACGAATCCAACTTGGTGCTTACTTAGGAGATTGTTATCTTCCAGATGGGTCATTATTCTTGTCTTCACGATTTTCTCCATAGCTTTACATAGTACACTTGTTAAGCTAATTGGCCTGTAATTTGCTGGTGATTTCTTGTCCCCCTTTTTTGTGTATTGCAGTAACCTGACCTTCCTTCCAGCCTTCAGGAAGTTCTCCAGACTTTAGGGAAGAGTTAAAGATATCACATAAAAGAGTTTTCAATATATCAGCAGTTTCTTTAAGTACTCTCGGATGAATATTATCTGGTCCTTTGCAATAAAACTTCTCGTAGCTTTGTGCCAAATTGCTACAAAGTTGTTGCAGACAAAAGTTGTTTGCCAAAATGTCACGAAATGTTTTTGCTAGCTGTAATATCTTCTGAGCTTCTTACAAGAAGAATAGGTTGTAGCAATTTTGCAGTAAAATTTAATTTCTGCCAAGGTATGTGTAGGCTTTTGGCAGATTTATGCAACAAATGTACTTTGATTGTGTAACGAACATTGGTTAGATAAGACTTCGGCTATCATTCTTGGCTGATTTAAGCTTACTTTCTTCCAACGATAACCGTTTCAAGGCTCCTACTAATGCATAATACAACTATATAACTACTGATATCATGAACGGTATCTCCAAAGAACTGCTTCAGAATAAAGCTGTGAAATATATGGCATTTTAAAGCAGTGAATTTCCAGTTAGTTGAAAACTGTGTTTTGAATTTTTAAGAGAGTTTGGCACTGCTTTAGCTCTGACAGGAGTTTGTTCTTTCAGTCTGGAGGGTTCGGAGCTCGTTGCTGTGGTACTTTCAACGTGCAGCGAGTGTGGTGCAGATCATAGGGAGATAACTCCTGAATAAAATTTTACTATAGTATTCAGTGTAACAAGAGAGTAATTCACGACTAAAAGAAATCAACTTTCTAAAAATGTCTAGGATATAATGAAAAAGTTTTAATTCTAATTTTCATAATTTATAATTGAGACATGAAACTTTTGGAAAAAGAAGAACTGAACGGTCGTGTTTAGAGAGCATGTATGGGGGAAATAGAATATCAATGTCCGGCAGTGCTATATGTAGTTATAGGGAGTAGATCTCAGCTGTTTCACAGATATAATGAATAACATAACATAAACCCTCTGACCTCTTGACCTCAGGGCCAAATATTTCAGAAATTCAAAAGAGGGTTGGTCGTTGATCATAATGAAGTGTGCCTGCTCTGCTATTTGTAGGAGTAAAGAAGATTCTTAAAGATGGTCCAAATTTTAATCTATTTGACCCTACCCCTAAGGGCCCCTGAGGACATAGCCCCATAAATTCAGATCCTACCAATGTTACATGTCGATTTTGTTTAAAGTTGACCAAGTAGTTCTGAAAATTGAAATATAAAAAGTTGACGGATGCTGCAGTATGCTATCCCTGGTCAGTTTAACTAAAAAAATACACATACAATTATGGTAAAAATTGAGATAGATTTTATCAAGCTTTGAGTACTAACAAGATAAGAAATAGTAATACATCACACAGTCAATATTGACCAATCTCCAGCTGCTACATCTTATATATCTAGAAGTTCCAATTTAATCTGTTGATGTTTTTCTGTCAATCAGCGTGTTCAAGCCTATTTAAGCGATCTTCGATAAGCGATTGCCATGAACTGTCTACCCAGTTGTCCAATCGTTGCTGTTTCACATCCATGTGTTTGTTGTGACACGCAGTCATTAGGATGTGTTCCCACGCTAAACAATTTATGTATTTTCCGACAGAATCGATTCCATTAAATCCAATTTCAATTATATATTCTTGAACGTTACGTACTATTCAGAGCCGTCAGAGATATTGGGAAGTATTGTTTTTACACGATACAACCGTTTATCTAGAGTTTGTACGCGTTGAGAGATGACTTCAGTAGTTCTGATAGTCCTCCTCATGTACATTTCAGAATTTTGACACTGACTGGCTTGGTAGTTTTAATAATGCTTGCAAGATTTCTCTATCAAACATTGGTTTTCAGTCCCCTGGGATGGGAAGGGCAGGACCCGATAGGGGCAATCGAGCAAACTATTTAATATCCTACTCCTTCTCTAGGAATGATTGAATTCTGTTCCAATTTGGTCTGAAGCTTTCTTTGGTGAAGAGGATCAATTTTGTTTAAAAGTGGGTCCTCTCCCTGGGCCGAGAGGGGCGGGCTCAATTGGGGAAAGAGAAAATTCTCCTGTTGGAATAACTAAATTTTGTCCAAATTTGACCTGAAGCATCCTTGGGTGAATAGAACTTGGGGCAGAGGGTCAAGGCCTTCCAAGGGAAGCAGAATCTTCTGCAAAGATACTACATTCCTGATTACTCTTTCCTATCATACAGATAAAGGTAAATTCAAATACCAGGTACTGCATAATTCATTACAAACTTTATTGATTTTTTTTCAAAAATCAAACTGCTATATAAATTGAGCAGCATTCATAGTTTCTAAGCAGTCTTTATTAAGATAAAGGATGAATCATAAGTTAAGTATATAAAAACAAAACAGTTAACACAATTACAAAATATTTATCACCTCCAAATATGAACAAGTAAAATTAGATGAAATATTGTTACAGACATGACTTCCCAATGTTAAAATCCACCTGTTCATCAGTGTAACAGTGAGGTATTATGAAAAATATCTCCCACACTTGTACTAGGAATCTGTTGTCTCTAAAAAACACATACACTGAAAACAAAAAACTTTGATGAAGTTGATTCATCACTTGTATTACATTAGAATCATCATGTAGGAAGATGAAATTTTGACGGTAAAAAATATTGCTATTGCTTAAGGCAGTGAATCTGGGAGATCAGAATAGCCATATTAAACGCATCTCCCTTCTGTAACACATATTAACATAATATCTCAACTTTATCAAACATTAGATAGACAAGTGGGTTACTGGCCTTTTCTGTCCCACTATGCTGCTTCTGTTTTAGCGGTATGACCAGTTTGACTGGCCTTGATTTGTTTATAAAACAAGGATGGACCCATATCTTAATTTTTTTGATGGGTCTTCGCACAGACTTTCGAGACCTTTAATGTTATCTGTAGGTGTGTCATGTTTTATACAAAACTGATGAGCTGGTTTGTGTGCTTTAATGATAGTAGGCCCATACATCAATATTAAGTCAATTAGATTAGATTTATCTCCCTTCTAACTCTCTTACTTACATCCGTCTATTTTTCTACTTCGATAACAGTATTATAAAGAAGACTTATGGTTTATATTCTATTACATAACATTCATGACATAATTCATGTATCACACTAGACAAGGCCCCACTTACTGCACATTTGTCCATTACAAGACCTGAGGAAACAGGAAACACTTGAACTTTTCCTGAAATTATTGGTCATGTTTGAGATATACAGGTATGGCAGTTTGGTTATTAAAAATACATCCTTACATGTATATATATCTATAAACTATTGCGTAAATAAAACATTTCCTGACTTCTCATATGTGATTGCCATGGTTACCAACTAAAGAAATGCTAAAAATGCAAAAACACTGCTAATTCCAACCTAACACTACAACTTAATAGAAGAAATTTATTTCTGAACATCTATCTTAAAATGAACCACATTGTCATGGTAACAAACTACTTACATTTTAGCAAATTCAAACTACACAGCATGACCATGTGTAAACACTATGGAAATTTAACTTTCTGTAAAGCTAGTTTTTGGTGTGTAAACAAGGATTCGAGAATGACCAAATAATAATCTCCAACACTATGCAAAAACATTATTCTGAAAATATAAAACCCCACTTCAACATGACAAGATCAATTTTAGCAAGGATTTATGTTTTAAAATATGATCCTCCTAGGTGACTCCTGTCTCTTTCCTGTCTGATCCTCCTAGGTGACCCCCATCTACCTTCCGTCTGATCCACCTAGGTGACCCCTATCTCCTTCCCATCTGATCCACATAGGTGACCTGTTTCCTTCCCATCTGATCCACCTAGGTGACCCCTATCTCCTTCCCATCTGATCCACATAGGTGACCTGTTTCCTTCCCATCTGATCCACCTAGGTGACCCCTATCTCCTTCACATCTGATCCTCCTAGGTGACCCTATCTCCTTCCCGTCTGATCCACATAGGTGACCTGTCTCCTTTCCAACTGATCCACTCAAGGTGACCCCATCTCATTCCCATCTGATCCAAGTAGGTGACCCCCATCTCCCTTTCGTCAAACCCAACTACTCTGTGTGTAATTGTACACAAGAAAGATATGTTGAGGAATGCATGTATTCTAATATAGAATCATCTATTCATGAAAGAACAACTTTAATTAATGAGAGAACTTTGATAATTAGACATTGCACATCAAACACTACCAACAGGCAACAACAAAATATCATATACCATGGTCCCAAAAGTATGTGGCCCTGCAAATTCACCAGAACTTAATTGCATTTATATAACAAAATTTTATTTAATTTAGAAAAAGTCCATCATCAAAGTCTCTTCAAGCTTTCTTCAATTAGTGATTGCCATGAACCATCTGTCCAGTTTTCCAGTCTTCGTTGTTTTAAACGTTTCATGTGTTTGTTGTGGCAGGCATCCATCAGGATGTGTTCCCATGTTGGCTTAGCACAGGCACCTGAAAAACAACATGGTAAAATGATATCAGGATGTGTTATGACATCAGGATGTGTTGCTACCTCAGTCTGGTGCAGGACCCTGACATACAACACAGTAAAACAATGACATCAGGATGTGTTGCTACCTCAGTCTGGTGCAGGACCCTGACATACAACACAGTAAAACAATGACATCAGGATGTGTTGCTACCTCAGTCTGGTACAGGCCCCTTACATACAACACAGTAAAACAATGACATCAGGATGTGTTTACATCATTCCAGTACAAGCTTCTGACACACAACACATAAATATAATGACATCAGGATGTGTTGCTACCTCAGTCTGGTACAGGCCCCTAACATACAACACAGTAAAACAATGACATCGGGATGTGTTACTACGTCAGCCTGGTACATGCCCCTAACATACAACAATGACATTAGGATGTGTTGCTACCTCAGTCTGGTACAGGCCCCTAACATACAACACAGTAAAACAATGACATCGGGATGTGTTACTACGTCAGCCTGGTACATGCCCCTAACATACAACAATGACATTAGGATGTGTTGCTACCTCAGTCTGGTACAGGCCCCTAACATACAACACAGTAAAACAATGACATAAAACTGGTACATGCCCCTAACATACAACAATGACATTAGGATGTGTTGCTACCTCAGTCTGGTACAGGCCCCTAACATACAACACAGTAAAACAATGACATCAGGATGTGTTGCTACCTCAGTCTGGTACAGGCCCCTAACATACAACACAGTAAAACAATGACATCAGGATGTGTTGCTACCTCAGTCTGGTGCAGGACCCTGACATACAACACAGTAAAACAATGACATCAGGATGTGTTGCTACCTCAGTCTGGTGCAGGCCCCTAACATACAACACAGTAAAACAATGACATCAGGATGTGTTGCTACCTCAGTCTGGTACAGGCCCCTAACATACAACACAGTAAAACAATGACATCAGGATGTGTTGCTACCTCAGTCTGGTGCAGGCATCTGACAAACAACACAGTAAAACAATGACATCAGGATGTGTTGCTACCTCAGTCTGGTGCAGGACCCTGACATACAACACAGTAAAACAATGACATCAGGATGTGTTGCTACCTCAGTCTGGTACAGGCCCCTAACATACAACACAGTAAAACAATGACATCAGGATGTGTTGCTACCTCAGTCTGGTACAGGCCCCTAACATACAACACAGTAAAACAATGACATCAGGATGTGTTCACATCATTCCAGTACAAGCTCCTGACACAAATTAATACATTAACACATAAATATGATGACATTAGGGTGTGTTCCCACTTGTAAGAGATTTATAATAAACAGGTTACAATAGATTGTTACCTTTGATGTCAGGTCGGTCATCAATCAGAAGGTGTCCATTGATCACGGTCTTGTCACGAGTCAGGATCACCTTCTCTATGAAGTCGGGACCTAAATGATTTTCCACCCATTCATACTGTGAAAAAAAAGAAAGCTCTCATTTCAAAACTATAAACCAGGTACATTTAATGCCAAAGGAAAACTTTAAAATGTCATAGAAAATATTTCAGGGTGTTAATTTCATTGGCTAATTCATCAGGTATATAACAATTAGAACTTTTATACAAGAAAATATAAAGGAAAAGGTTAAAAAAGTTGTGACCTTTGACCCAAAAGCAAGGATTTCTATTTGACTATTTTTGTTTTAACCTATGACCCCAAAGGTAATTTATAATAATGTAACTGCAAGTGTTTTTTTTTTAAGTTTTGATAATTTTTAAATTTGAGCTATGATGACATGGCATCCATATTAAATTTTTAACATATTTGAAAATGTCACAATGACACCCTTCATCAATACACCGTATTGTACTTTTTGTTAACATCTTCTATATCAATCAAAAACAAACATACAGTGAAAAAATCTAAAAATCAATGGAAATTTCGCTATTGATACATGTAAGAGTAATGCCAAATATAATTTGATCAAGAGTTGGTCCGTGAAATTATCTAAATGCTAACTTCACGAAGACACCAGGGAAGAAATACAACAGGTATTCAGGATTCAAGACTGTTCACTGATTGTATCTATATAATTACTAAAGCATTTCAGTTTAACTCCCAAATTACCTATCTGTCTCCATAGTTACTTTTCTATCTCCTCAAGTACATGTCTACATGTCTGTCTCTCTCCTTTCCTGTCACCTCATATGTCTGTCCTGTCTCCCAAGATTCCTGGTTCCCCCCCCCCCCCACCCCATTCCTAAGTTACCTGTATTTTTTCCTAGGTACTTGTCTTTCTCCATTGATACCTGTGTGCCCCCTAATTATTGTGTCTCTTTTATAACCTGTGGGCCTCTTCAGCTACCTGTTTCTCTCTATAATTAACTGTTTGTCTCTTAAGCTACAATTGTACCTATCTGTCACCCCTGATACATTTTACCTGCCTGTCTTCTAAGTTATCTGCCTGTCTCCAAAAACACCTCTGTCTCCATGGTTACAACAGACACCCCATTCCCAAGGCCTCACACTACTAAAGTATTGTGTGTATGCAGTGGACTGCTGTTGGTGTTTTCTCTTAGAATCAACAGAAACCCTGTTTTATAGGAAAGTATACCTTTTCCTTGACTGAATACTGGTATTGAAACAAGGGACTGGTACACAGAAAGACATCCACTCTACAAAATAAAATCTCTTCATATCATGTGTTTCTATGTAAGCAATCATAAAAAATCTGAATTTTTTCTCAATCAATTCTAAACACTGATAGTCTTTTTCACTTTAACATAAAGTCTGAGAGGAAAACAAGAAGTCCAAAAGTCTGACAGGATGACAACACAGGATGGGCTTTTGGTGCCCTACATTGTTTGATATTTATTTGTTCTTTAAAAGTAGGATCTTTCCCCTTCCATTATCTTCTCTGCTCTGTCTTTGTTCTTAATGACACAAAATTTGAACATTCCTTTTCACCTCTCAGCCATTTTGTTTTTCTTTCAATCTTTCAAGGTTGATATCCAAGAGGACAGTCTGTTTAATAATGTTTTTTTTCTGATCAGTCCCAAAATCAAACGGGCACAACTAGGAACCAAGGAAAGTCTACATATGAAATTTGAGAAAGATCCATCAAGTGCTTCTCATAAAATGGCGATAACACACTTTCAAAAGTCAAAATCCAAGATGGCCAACTGTCAACTATTTTATTTTTTTTTATTAGTTCCAAACCAAAATCAAATGAGTACAGCAAGTAAGCTAGGGAAGCCTACATATGAAATTTGAGAAAGATCCAGCAAGTTTATTTCATCAAATAGCAATAACAAACTTTCAAAAGTCAAATTCTAAGATGGCCACCTGTCAGCATTATTTTCTTCCTGATCAGTCCCAAAATCAAACTGGCACAACAAGGAACAAAGAGCTATATCTATAATCTTAAATTTGAGAGGGAGATCTATCCAGTGCTTCTCAAGAAATTGAGATAACAAACTTCATTGTAAAAATCATATATGGAATTTTAGAAAGATTCATCACGTACTTCTGAAGAAAAAGTGATAACAAAAATTGTTTACAAATGGATGGATGGACGGACCAAGGACTAAGGGTGATTTGATTTGATGATGGTGGATGATAAGACACTCAAAAGTCTGACAGAAAGACAAGTAACTCGAAAGTCCGACAGAAAGACAACAAACTCTTAAGTCTGACAGGAAGACAACAAAATTCAGAAGTCAGGGACTACATTTCATTATTAACATCACATATTAAATCTTTCGTATGAACCTGTTTAAACACTACATCACGGTCTACTAAGCCGTGGAGTATCTCATTGGTTTTGTACACACCCTTCCATAGCATCCATGGCCTTGATAGCATTGCAAGCCCCAGGAAGTTCTGGAAGGTCACGAAAGAAACCTTCAGCTTCATAAATCGACTTCACTTTTTTCTGAAAGAAATGAATTCCTATTAGTTATGAATAGCATGAAGCCACGATAAAAATGAAATATGTGATAGTCAATTTATTTTAGTTGTCCAGTTGTTCTAGTTTTAGAAAGTTGATTATCCTGTTATTTTCGTTTTAGGAACTAGATGGTCCTATTATTTTAGGTTCAGGATCATAATAGTCCAGTTTTTGCTATTAAGGGACTTCTATTTAGGGCTGACAAGTTTTATGAACTAGATGGTCCTATTATTTTAGGTTCAGGATCTTAATAGTCCAGTTTTTGCTATTTAGGGACTTCTATTTAGGGCTGACAAGTTTTATGAACTAGATGGTCCTATTATTTTAGGTTCAGGATCTTAATAGTCCAGTTTTTGCTATTTAGGGACTTCTATTTAGGGCTGACAAGTTTTATGAACTAGATGGTCCTATTATTTTAGGTTCAGGATCTTAATAGTCCAGTTATTGCTATTTAGGGACTTAATGGTTTTTTTGTTGAAACTTTGGGACTTGATAGCCCTATTATTGAAGTTTAGGGACTTGGTTGTCCAGTCACTGAAATTTAGGGAATTAATTGTCCAGTTACCGAAATTTAGGGACTTAGTTGTCCAGTCACTGAAATTTAGGGAATTAAATGTCCAGTTACCGAAATTTAGGGACTTGGTTGTCCATTCACTGAAATTTAGGGAATTAATTGTCCAGTTACCGAAATTTAGGGACTTGGTTGTCCAGTCACTGAAATTTAGGGAATTAATTGTCCAGTTACTGAAATTTAGGGACTTGGTTGACTAGTCACTGAAATTTAGGGAATTAATTGTCCAGTTACTGAAATTTAGAAACTTAATTGTCTAGTTATTGAAAATTAGGGACTTGATGGCCTTGTTGCTAAAGTTTGGGCATTGATAGTCCTGTTGTTGGAAGTTTAGGGACTTGATGGCCCTGTTGCTGAAGTTTGGGCATTGATAGTCCTGTTGTTGGAAGTTTAGGGACTTGATGGCCCTGTTGTTGAAGTTTAGGGACCTGATGGCCCTGTTACTGAAGCTAAGATACTTGAAAGTCCTGTTACTAAAGTTTTGATTGCTCAGTTATTTACGTTTAGCGATCTGATAGCCCCTAAGTTTTGTTATTTGATGACCCAGTTATTTACGTTTAGCGATCTGATAGCCCCTAAGTTTTATTATTTGATGGCCCAGTTATTGACGTTTAGCAATGTGATAGCCTCTAAGTTTTGTTATTTGATGGCCCAGTTATTTACGTTTAGCAATGTGATAGCCTCTAAGTTTTGTTATTTGATGGCCCAGTTATTTACGTTTAGCAATGTGATAGCCCCTAAGTTTTGTTATTTGATGGCCCAGTTATTTACGTTTAGTAATGTGATAGCCCACAAGTTTTTGTTTTTTGATGGCCCAGTCATTTACGTTTAGCAATCTGATAGCCCATAAGTTTTGTTATTTGATGACCCAGTTATTTACGTTTAGCGATGTGATAGCCCGCAAGTTTTTTGGTTGATAATTAATAGGTATAACAATACAGATTAGCCAAGAAAGCAGCTCCAGTCAAACATGTTTCTTATACAGTAGATCTTTTACATGATTCTTTTTATGAAACCACCTATGACTTAAAATAATTTTTTATCTTCTTTTGTCAAATCTCATGTATACAATTTCATTACCTTCAATCCTTCTTTTAGCTTTTCATACTGATCCCCCAGATAAAAGGTCCGTCGATCCTCCATCTCTATATAGGGCTCATCAGGAAATTTCTTTCTATACATGGTTAGAAAATATCCCTCAAAGTCTGCAATGGTTTGATCCATGTCTACCAGCACTCGTAACCGTCTCTCCATTAGTTTGCTAATTACCTTTCTACCAGCCATCTCTGGGAAATATCTGAAATAAAAAGAAGCACTTCAGGTGACCTACCATTTAATAATTTTCATTCAACACAGAACTCTGTTTTGAATTAGGAAATCACACACATTATTTTTTCATATACATCTCAGTAATATTAGCTCGGACACTAATAGACAATTGTGATCATATTCTTGAATGATCATCACTGTTACTATAAACCATCAAACACCATCAGTGTCATGGTCATAATCTTAGTTCTAGAAGAAGAAGAAGAAAAGAAGAAGATGATGAAGAAGAAAGAGTAGAAAAAGAAAGAAGAATAAGAAGAAGAAGAAGAAGAAGAAGACCATGACGCAATGATTTCACTTCCTGCACTTACACACCCTCCAAATGTTAGTATGAGTGTATGATATACTGTTGTAAATTACATGAAAGTACAAGAGTTAATCACTAGAAGGCATGTGTCAAGGGTCTGATTAAAGCTCTTAAATGGAAGGAACTGACCAGATTATACATTATATTTCTACAAAATCCTTTCCTTGCCTCCACATGGTTCCAATACAGTATCATAGTAAACCCTTACATTGGATTTTGAAGATATGTTTTAGGAAATTACAAATCTAGTGATTTCTGGCATTGCATGCAGTGATATTGGTTGTGTGCTTGTCACATTTAAAATTATTTTGTATTGTTAGATCTTTGCTTGAATCCATTTGTTTTAATTACTATGTGATAGTTTATATTCCTGTTTAATTATGTTGTGTCATGGTGTGTTGAAGTTGTACAATCTAACTCCACTACTTCTGAGCCCTCCTTCAACATAATGGAGGCTATGGTTTGTGTTTGAGCGGGTGTAGTATGTTTTAGTAAATGATGAAAGAGACAGCTGCTTTGATGGACTCCAACAAGTCACTCTCTACAGTGTTCAGGGGGAGATATGCCAATTTTTGATGGTCCTAGTTGGGAAAAGTGAGTTCTGACGGAGACTGATGTTGGTGGGTAATTGATCAGTATGTTTGTGGTATAGACTAGCTGTGATATCATTATCATATTAACAAGACAGGGCATACATCTGTTCTCCAATCTGTTGATTTTCTCTAATGTAGGTAGTTTATTATGTGTCACTGATACCGGAGGTGTTTCTGTGCCTTAGTGATGAGACAGTTTGACCGATATCATCAGAGATAAGTAGAGAATACATGGTCAGTGTTTTAAAATGTAAGCTGTATTTTGGTGAGGGTGTCTTTCTGTCCCGAGATGAAATGCAGCTTATATTTTCAGACACTAACCTTGTATTTTATTTATCCTGCAACAACGCATGCAAATCACTGTCAAAACTTCAAGAGTTTTCTTGTTCAATCTTTGTTTACCTGATGTTGACTTTTGTTGAATTTTGTCTGATGACGTACGCCTAAATAATTGCTCCAGACAGAGTTCCAAACTTCAACAAATTTGACGATTTTATGAATTTTCTTGCACATTTACTGTCAAATTAACCCACGTGCTAAAATGCAGCTGTTTTCCGTCACTGCCGAATAGAGCAAAATTATATGTGGCAGGTGTATTCCGACAATGGCAGCACAAGTTGCAGGATGAATATATACACATGTATATTCTATTGTTGGTCTGACAAGTGATATGTATACTTGTAAAGTTTCTTAGGAATAAAGCACAGACTATCACAAACTCTCTCTAAATATATTATTCGAATTTCTTTAGATCTGACTGGATGTGATTATGCCAAGATGTTTTCCTTGTTAACATAGTATAATATATGGAATTTCAGTACGTAATCATATGCATGTTCATCAATGGTTGTTTTTGTTACTAAGGAAGTTGTTTTTGTTACTAAGGATGGTAAATACATATATTTTGCTATGGAACGTCAGAATAATTCGGACAAGCTGAAAACACATAAAAGTACACATATACGTCTCTGTTATACGTAACTATTAATAATCGGTTACACTTCTGATAATGTATCCAGCATATTACAATACACTGGCCTGTACGCTACCTCTTTTTGCTTAAAACGATTTACAGCCTTTTGACTACGGTGGGTCGCTTCCCCGTAGGCGGTTGAAACGATTGCATCAACTTCGTAGAAATTAGGTCCAATCTTAGACTGCGAAATATCAGCATTAGCAGCAGAAAAGGCCTTAACTAATCCGAGACTAAGTGACCGAACGTCGACTCGAACATCATTACTTTTTAGAATTCCTGCAAAAAAGCAGGGTTGGTGCAAGCACGTTTCCCGAAATTAACTTTAGGCCTATTTAGCTTACTGTACTGTACATGTTACAATGAATCATGCTTAATTTTATGCTTATGTTTTTATATTTGACAGGAAACTTTCAATCTGTGCGTTCTTAGCTTTACATAAATAATGTTTAACATCCAATACAGGTACGTTCGTGTATCGAGGCCAACCTGACCATTTCAATCGGGTCGTGCAACAGATGCGGACTTCCTCTAATTTCTGGTTTGTTTTGATATCGATCGCTTAAGATGTTAAAAATAGCATGGTAGGATTTCCATATAATACCTCAAAACAACAGCTTTATATGTGTTTTGACCATATCTTGCCATATATAATTTTCTGTTTCGATTTTGTCTTCATAATATATACATATATAACAAATTACATATGTCTCTATCTCCCTTTATCTATTTGGGTCTCGATCTATCCACGGACTTTATCTAAACACGTGGTTTGCCTGGAACGCGTTAACGAGTGACAACAAACGTCGTAAAGCGTCGTAAAATATCTTTCAAAAATTAATATAGTTCGCATCATAAAGATATATGTTGTGAATATGATCATAAAACATCCCTGTGCCAGGTTTGAATGAGTTAGCATTGTGTGCCAAGTTTCAGTTTCATTTATGAAGGCAAGAGGCCCATAGGGCCTATATCGCTAACCTGAATTAGTTTGCTGAAATTGATTCATTTTTAAGTAGGGGAAAAGTGTTTAAAACTCTTGTATCTAATAATAAAATAGACCCACCTCTAAAGGGCGATGAGATGAAGCTGTTTATAAATAACTAGTTCTCTTCACCAAGAATGTCTTCAGTTCCAACACAATAAAGATTTTTTTTTTAAAAATGCTCCATTTGGCCCAGGCATTCCTACATAAGTACAAGATAGATTTTAAAGAAATTCATAGTTTTCCCTATTGAGCCCCACCCATCTGACCCCAGGATTTTCCTTTATCCAACCATGCTTCAGACCAGATCTATAGACAATATCCTGCTATTCCTGAAGAGCAAGATATATTTTTTAAAAATTAATATATTTCTCTATTGGATCCAACCTATCTGGCCCCAGGGACCCCAAGATCAAAGAAAAAACGTATTTTCCTTCACCCAAGCTTGCTTCAGAACAAATCTGGGGAAAATCGTGTGATTTCTTAAAAAAAGTAGATTTTAAAGGAATTCACAGATTTTCCCTTTTGGGACCCATCCATCTGGCCCCAGGGGGTCGAGAACCATCGTTTATACAAAACTCATTTCCCTTCATCCAATCATGCTTCAAACCAATGTTGGACAATATTCTGCGACTCCTGAAGAACAAAATACATTTTAAAGAAATTCATAGATTTCCCTATTAGGTCCAGGGGGGCCCCCGAGACCCACCATTTAAACAAAACTGATTTTCCTTCAGCCAAGCGTGCTGTCCCTCTTCGGACCAGGTGACCTAAAAACTGGACCTCTTCCCCAAAGGATGTTCCTGACCAAATATGCTCGATAACTCCGTGTTGATCATGACAATTAGCAATTTATAGGAAAAGTTGATGGGTGGAAAACAGATGCCCGGAAGGACTTGGCCCTTCAGCTCATGCAAGTTAAAATGTATAAATAACAGTAATTTTTCAGAACAAGAGATATCAATTAAAGTGAAATCAGCACCATGAGAGAGTGTAACTTCCTGCATTAAGTTTATTTCATCACGCAATCATAACCATCGGTATTCCATTTTTTTGTTCAAGGACACTTAAATTTTTTGGCTGACATTCCCTTGAACCTCCAGTTTTAAAACGGGAGATAATTAAATCCCTGCCCGCCATTTGCATCAGATGCGCTGCAATTATTACATTTAAGTGTATCCAAAAGCAGCACCACGAGTGTTTCACAAGTCGTGCAATTTTATTGCAAGCTGTCTTTTCATGGTTTTCTGGAAGTCAAACATCGGATCAGGGCTATCAATACAACAATTTTTGGCTCTCTTAATCGCAGCCATTGTCTAGTTACCTTATTGATCGGCTACTGTCAGTTTCGTTTCGGTTTGGTGTAGTACATCAAAAATATACTTAACATTATCATCCCAAAATATTAGAGGTGATATCTTAGGGCACACTCTTTTTTCCATCTCTATAATGTACCATAAAAACCAACAACAGCAACACACACATGCACACAAAACAATAACAAAGAAATAAAGTTGCGTAATCACTCCTACAGGTATGCCACAGTCACCAATTGAATTCAAATAAATGATTATTAAATAAATCATTAACTCGTTCATTTGAGTAATAAAATATGTTTTAACAATTTTAAAACAAAATATTAAAGTGTTTCAATGTATCCGTTACAGTAGCTTAATTTCTTCAAGAAATTAAGTTACTGCAACGGATACCCGAGTTATCGTTCCGTATACTGCGAATAGAGTTATCCCCCTTCCTACTGTTGCATAGTCGCCGAAGTTCATGCGTGGCAACAACACGAATTCCGATATTCGATACGACTATTTCTTTCATTGTGTTCAGATTGCTGAACCAGTTTGTAAGATTATCTGAATTTTCTGCTTGTCAACGGCTTTCAGCAGAGAAGATTATCAGGTAAGCACATTTAACCAATGTTCTAATATATAAATTCGTTCTTGCTTCGATAAGTGAACGAACATACATTGCGAGGCGTTGACATTGATGTTAAATTAACAGAGAACATAGAGCATTTAACACTGCAGGATTGTCACATATGTAGGCCTGTATATTGATGAACTTCCATAAACTTTCATTTAATTT